AAAGTGAGGAGTCAGACACTGAAAGAAGCACTGGGTACCAAGTAAGAGCTGGCGGTGCTGAAATGGTTGATGGTGAAAAGATCATCTCCACACAGAATACTGCAGAGCACACAGGGTCATCATCCTCATCTTCATCTTCAATATCTGAACTCATGAACAGTGGAATGTACACAGAGACAAATGGAGATGCTAAACAAGATGGAAAAAAGAAGTTTAAATTTAAGTTCCCAAAGAAACAGCTAGCAGCACTGACACAAGCAATTCGCACAGGCACCAAGTCTGGAAAGAAGACCTTACAAGTGGTGGTGTATGAAGACGAGGAAGAATCTGATGGTACAGTTCGGCAGCACAGGGAAGCAAAGAGATTTGAAATCACCCGCTCAAAATCCTTTGCAGAGGGCACCAAGGGATCAGTGTCTAACACACAAACAGACCAGAACTCAGACGCCCTTTGCAGAACCAATGAGATTCGGAAGAATGCCTACAAGACTCTGGACAGTCTTGAACAAACCATCAAACAGCTGGAAACAACTATTAATGAAATGGGACCATGCTCCCCAGAGGAGCCAGTCAGCACTGAAGACACCAAGGCAAGAACTGGGAAAGAATCTGATGTGGTTGGGTTGAAGAGGTCTTCCTCTCTCCCTACCTCTAGAGCGCATGGATCTAAAGTATCCAGTAAAGGTTTGCTGCAGAAGAAGACAAAACCTCAGCTCCTTCCTCGCCCTGTTGTGGCCCCTTCTTCCACCAGCACCTCCACCACTGTCCTCAGTGTACCCACCAGCATACAACAGGTCTCTCTTTAGCTATTGTTGCTCCAGGAGAGTTTGGGTCCTTCTATTTCACTTTTCAACCTACCTTCACTCCAACCCTAACCACTGAAATTACAAAGTCATTAATCCACTCCACAGGGGCTCAGAAATGTTGAAAGCAACCCTGGTGGCTCTCTGCCACTGTGAAATCATGGTGACATGATGGGGGTGACATTTTGTTGGGTGCCTGACTAGCATCTTTCTCCTGCAGTTAATTGCTAAAACTCTGAGGTTTTCAGCAAGTGGTGCACTGATCATCAGAGACTTTGTCGCGATGGTCGTTACTTCCTTATTCTCAACTGCATGCACTATGCATACTGCCTTTGAGGTTTATGGTCCTTCTGGATGCATGGTCTTTTACTGGTGTTGATTTTTTTGAGTTGTTGAACTTTTTTCCGTGTTTTGACTTCTCATACTTCCTGTTTTGGTCTATGTTTTTTTTTCTACCTTTTGTTTTATTTCTTGTTTTGTTTTTCGTTTGGATCCCATTGCAGAACACCAGTGCCGCTTCCCCTACTAGTCGGATGCCGGTCCCTTTGTCTGCGAAGTCCAGACAGTCGCCGGCTACATCTGACAAAGCTGGAAAACAGCAAAAACTGCAGGACGCTCAGAGGCAGTTTCGACAGGTAGTTTTACTGTAGAGTTTTACAGGAGGCTAGCAGAATTAAGGTCATGCCTTACTGAAAGCATGGAGCATATATAAGAGGACTACCAAAGTCGTGAGATCTCACAAGTGAAAAAAAAAAAAATGAAAGCCACAATGGTGGCAACTGTTCTTGTTTCTCTCGAATCTGCAAACACGCAAAGGCATGTTTGACTGTTGACTGTTACCCCATAACATCACTGTACTGTATGCTTCTGCATGTCCACACTGCTCATGGTTTTCACTGTGTTGGTGGCTATACAAAAAACAAAATGGAGAAAGGCAAAGAAAAGTGGATTCCTGTATTATCATCATCTGAGTTGTCATCACATCTCCAGTTTTCCATCACAGCTGAGTTCCTTAACAGTGTCGCCAAGTCCTAATATCCTTCTGGCAATGTTCAACCACAGGTTTAACTTTTTTTGTTGTTGTTTGGCTCCTCCCTTCTTTTATTCCAACTCTGCTCAAACCCTACATCACTGCTCAGCTTTCTTAACCCCATGGTGATGCATTTTCTTGCCGTCAGGACCTTGGCATAACCTACTGACATTGCACCATCGGTTTAGTGGAGTACGAAATCACATTTGTCCTCTCTGCTGCCACCCCTTTAACTTCTAACACCTTTTCCCTATTCATTCCAGCTCCTTGAGTGCATTTTTGCCTTCTCAATTTTATTCAGCCTCTCACAATACCTAACAATCCCTCTAACACAGAGACACTGCTGTCTGCCATCATGCTGTCTAACTTTTGCAGTGTTTTCTTTTTCGGTAAAGTATCTCTCACTTTTATAATAATAAAAAGATCAACTGTACAGCATGCAAAATAAGTATTAAGCACTTCATAAATTTTTCTCAGTTAAGTTATTTCTTAAACACTGTTGACATTAAAACTAAAACAGATGTCTGTCGTAACCCAAATAACCCACACATACAGGAAATTGAAGCAAGTTACTGTATAGTTAACCCATTGTTAGGATTTCAATCTCAATTTAAAAATGCTTTTTAATCCCGACAGGAAATTCAATATTTTATTGACTGTGTCCAAACTACCAAAGTTTCTTTAAAGGAACAATTGTGTGTGATTATTGTTGTAAACAGGAGGGATCTCTCTCCTATTGTCATCTGTATTACAGTGAATGTGAAGAAGCCTCAAAGGCTTTTTACTAGTATCGCACCTCATCAAGTCCAGAGGCCCCCAAAGCAATTCCACTGCAGTCATTCATCCATTCACGCAGGCACACAACTGAAGACACTAAGTTGTGTCCTGTCTTGTAAAGTCATTTGAAAATCTATTAAAAGAATTTGTAATCAAAATGCAGACAAGAACTTGTAACCTCGTCCATCTTATTTCTCGGTGCAAAAGACACCTTGAAGTTCTCAGTATCAGCAGTCCTTTATAAGTATTTAATTAATTTAAGTTAGTATGTTTAATAGTTCTATATTGTGTAATTCTCTTTTATATATATAAAAAAAAACATTATTTATGGATTTGCTTTTTTTTATTTTTTTGCATATGTTGATTGTCTGGTTTGTTCCTGACAACTGGTATACATTTCAAGTCGACAGGCTCAACAGACATATATTGACTGAGAAAAAGGTTGTGTGTTCAATTCTTACTTTCTTTGCTGTATGTTTTCGGTATCTTTTAGTTTGCCTTATTGATGTTATTGTTTGTGCAGCCATATTGTTTGTCCATGTGAATAACTTTTAGTTTGTTTTTTTTTTTGTTTTTTTTAACGTCGCCGTGCCTTTTACATGTGTTGTGTGACCAGTCTTCTTTTTTTGACAACCAGTATCTGTTTTGGCATCTGTTTGCAGGCTAATGGAAGTGCTAAAAGAGTGGGAGGGGATCATAAAACTGCTTCCCCTACTATACCCGTCTCTAAAATCCCTGCTTTTTATCCTAGCTCTGCTAAAGGCAGCTGCCAGTCTGCGCTAAACTCAGATGCTACTAATCCCATTAACCCGTCTTCTGCTCCTCCTTCTGCGACAAAGTCCCCTCACACCCCCCGTTCCGGTTCCCTACCCTCATCCCATATCCCCTCACTGTCTAACGGATCCCTCAAACTCCCTGCTCCTTCACAATACACAGGTAAAGCTCTCTCATTCTCCTCACAGACTCAGAATGGTCGAGTGCACTCCTCCTCCTCTTCATTCTCCTCCTCCTCCTCCTTCTCCCCCTCCCCTCTGTCTCCCACACCATTGGGGCCAGGTGGAAAGAGCATCCGCACCATACACACCCCCAGCTTCACCAGCTACAGATCGCACAACGGCAGCAGCAGCAAATCCTCCATCCCAACAACTACAGCAGCTAAGGACACAACTTAGCCACATTATCATCAAGCGTGCTTTACAGCACAGCAGGTAGACCTGAATATGTTCCATGTAATACCTTTTGTTGCTTTTTCTGTTATTTGAACATTTTTTTTTTTTTTTTATCATTTGAAAGTATTATTAAAATAATGCACTCACCCTGTTTATATTTTGACACTGGCATTTGCGCACTGTTTATTTCTTTTCTGTTCCTTTCCTTTTCTTTCAGTTCCCTTTTAGATTTAAACAACACTTGTATGGATTCATATTCTGCATCAGAGGCAATCTCTGTGACCTATGTTGTAAATTTTATTTTAATGGTTCTTTCACATAATTGTAGATTGATTTTGTAGTTGAATTGAAAGTTTTTAATTGTGGTGAAAATCTATTTTTTGCAGTAGTTATGAATAGGGAATATATAGTTAATTTGCAAACAACATATCTTATAAATTCTTTCAATTTTGGGAAAAAGAGAAATGTATTAATTAGTATATTTAATCCTCTATATTTCTTACGTTCAAGACAAAATGTAAAAGCCTTTAATGAATTTATACAGAATTTATGATGAAATTCATAATTAACTTAGTTTTCCAAGAGTATTTTCTTATTTTTCACTGTCATAAACTGCCAACTTCTTTAACAGATAGCAGCTGTTCTCATCATTAATGCAAGTTTTTGTTTTATTGTGCCTATTTGCCAAAGTGGTTGTATACTGACATACTTCATGCCTAACTATAATCATCTACTTTTGGAAAATTTCCTTGGCTCTTCTTGGTGTGACGGCTGACATCAGTGGACAAAAGTTGTGCTAACATGTATTGTTGCTGTTCATGTGATCTGTACTGAAAACAAAGTCAACAAAATGTACATACCAGTAAATGCTTCTACTAAGAAATTAAGTAGGTTTTTTTTAACATACCAAAGTTTATTTGCATGCATGCCTTTGAAATATTTTAGAAGAGTAATGTAAAAGAGACAAAAATATGTTTGCACAAATAGATTTTGTAAATATGTTGGTTTTCTTTCACTTTTTTGTAAAGCTTTAAGACATTACATAAATGAACAATGTGTTTAAAGGCAAAAGTTTGGTGGAGTAGCAAACGCAAATAAAGACCTGCATGCTTCTAGTGCACTGAATTAGTTTTTGTTTGTTTGTTTGTTTTTTTTTTTTATAAATCTTCTGTCTTGCTTCCTGCATATCATGGAAATGTGTGCACATGTGGGTAAACCTGCGTGCGTGTATGTTAACATAAAGTTCAACACACCACAAACTATTTCCATAAATTTCTCACTTCTGCTTGACTATCAGTTATTCAGTCACACACTGAAGTCTTCCGCTCTTAGTGAGCATAGTTTAGAACGGGGTCCAACGACAACAACAGGTAAGATTATTAGAGGCTTTAAATGTAATCTAAAGAATATTTGCTACTTTTTCTGTACTTATGAAGAGGAAACCACTAAGTTCCTTCTTTCTCGACAAGTAACCTTTCGATAGTTGTCATTATCTTCATACGTTTCATTGCCAAAATGTTTAGATGCTTGATTTTATACATATGTAAACCTTAAAGTTGCAGTCTGTAACTTTTGTAAAATATATACAGTATGCTATGAGGTAGATAATCTGTAAAAATACAGAGTTCATCTGCTTTCTCCCAATGCTCCCAGTGCTATCTAGAAACAACCAATCAGAGCCATAAGAAGGGTCTTACTGTGGATTATGTCTCAATTTTATTAAACCATAATCCTCCCTCCACCAAATTTACACGTAGCATACATAGCGCAATCCAGTAAACCTCACTGTCCTGGCAACCAGACTCTGTTTTTCTCATTGCTTGCAACACAGAGAAGTGACTCCTCATTTCAGAGAACCAGTCTCCGCTTCTTGCTAGTCCATTGATGCTGTGTTATAAACCAAGCTTTTCAGTCAACATTTGTGTAGCACTCGCTGATGTAAGATTTGGAAGCAGCTGTTCTACACTGTTCCTGAGCTGAGATGAAGGTTGCATGAAGTATGGAGGTTTGTGACTTGAATCTGCAGACAGCTTATGACTTCCCAGCAATGCTCAGTGGTTAATGTGACCAAGTTCCGTTAATAACTGCTTCCTGTTTGCTAACAGTTGTCAATGGATTAACTGTGTAGATGGCATGTCAAGTACCATGATGGAGTTTATTAAGCTCCCGAAAGTGACCTTTTTTTTTCACAAATACTTGTAGAGATAACCATAGAAATAACACCAGGACTCAATAACTTTGAGGGGCATCTCAATACTTTTGTCAACTTTTGTCTTCTCACTTTTAAAGTGCAGAAAATCCAGCATCCAGCAAGTATGGATGGAGTAAGAACCTAATACCCAGGCTGTTGAGCATATTAAAATCGCAAAGCAGGTGTTATTGTCGTAAAAGTTTTTTTTGTTTGTTTGTTTGTTTTTTGTCTGATTCAGTGTTCTAATTTTCTCAGAAACTGTTTTTTTTTTTCATTATTTGTAGCAATGATCACAAAAAACAACAAAAATAAACACCTAATATGCTTCAATTTTAAGACAAACCTTTTTGTACTATGAGTGAAAATCACTGAATACACATTATGCTTTACCCTGCATTAGACGGGTCCTTGCCATGACACATGCAAATACTTCCACGGAGAATGAGACCAACAGATTACCTCCGTGGGATATTGTCCTCGCCGTGTTTTACATGTTGATCTTCATCATTGCTGTTCCTGGGAACTCCTTGGCGTTGTGGGCATTCTGTCATCAGAAGAGCACTTCACCCTCCAAGGTCTTCCTGAGAAATCTTGCTGTTGCAGACATCTGCTATGTCCTTATTTTACCTATGCGCATAGTTTACCACCTGTCTGGCAGCCACTGGCCCTTTGGAGACATCTTATGTCAGCTGTCAGGCTTTTTATTTTACCTGAACATGTATTGTAGCCTCTACCTCATGAGTTTCATCAGCCTGGACAGATTGATAGCTGTGACTTTACCTCTAATGTCCCAGGTGGTAAGGAAGCCTTTGTATGCACATATAGGTGTGACCATACTGTGGGTGATAGTCATTGTCTCTATGATTCCAACACTTTTCTCACAAAAAACCCAAAACAACTCACCTAACAACTGCAGCATGCTGTACCTTGAAAAAACATCACCCAAAGCTTTGATCTCCACCATCGTTGCTTTTTCTATTCCCTTCACCACCATAGTTATCACCTCCCTGGTGATTCTCTTAAAACTGAGGAACCTGAAACAACACGAAGAGCGTCCAGTGAAAGACAAAGCTATGAAAATGATCGTACTCGTAGTGCTAAACTTCATGTTTGCATTTGTTCCCTATCACATTTGCAGGGTGATATACACTCAAAGACCAGCTGGAAGGTTGGAGTCATTGTCATTAAAAAGAGCCAATCAGATCACATCTGCACTGAGCTGCATCAGTGGTGTACTGGACCCTGTTATGTATTTCTTCTTGAACCGAGTTTACAGGAATACGTTTCTTCGTCTGTTCTTTAAAACTCAGAATACTTCTCTGTAAGCATCAAAGTAAAATTCTTGCTAAACGACTGCCTTATTGTTGGACATTTTAACGATTCGAAGGTCTTGTAACTATGATTTAACACATCAAAGACAACTTTGGAGAAATATTTTTATCTTTCAAATCTGTAAAGCATTTACTAGAATGTAAAGAGTTTGATCTGCTTTTTTCTGGTACTTTTGACTGATGTTAAATGAAATAGATAAATCTCATTACATGTTCTTTTACATTTTTGACTAATCTCAGAGTCAAAAATGTAAAAGAACATGAAACTGACATAGTATAACACATTTTCGAGGAACTGAAAGCTCTGCCTTCTCTGTTAGCTTTAGATTGCATCCAAAAGGTTTTATCCCTTTCAAATGTTCTGTATTCTGTCTTATAACAACCACCAATTTATTTATTTTTTTATTAAGTTGGGGGATATATATTTTCTAGAAAAAGGTACTTTCTGTTCTTCTTTATTATGAACAAAGATTGGATTAAAATGCTTTTTTTTTGTGCAAATACGCTCTCTTGTGGGTTTCTGACAGGTTTGACCAGTACTTCTTTTAGAAAATCAATATTTCCAAATAAAATAGTAAGTTTCTATGTATATGTTGTTCAATATGTTTGTACTGCTATCAAGACCTTTTGTTATGAGATTAGGCATAAAACCATTCTGTTAAAATACCATAATGAATGTCCTTAATATCACTTAAACTATGAACATGTCACAATTTCCAAGCAGGGCTTTGTCCATCAGAGAAAAATGAAAATTAAACCACATACTAGGTCGATTTTGAAGAGAAATATCAAGTTTTCTGCAACAAGTAAAGGGGTATACAGTCACACCCAATAAATTATTTTGGAAATCTAAGACCCAAACAGATTTGACAGTTGTGGCTGAACTTACAGGCTCTTATCAAGTTCTGAGACTAAAAAAATATAGAACATGACCTATGTACTTTTTTTTTGTTTTGTTTTATTTTTTTAACATTTGACTTGAATCTGTTTCATAATTTCTGGATTGACATCTGTAAATACAGTATTCAGTTTAAGTTTAAATTGATCAATGTTCCAATTTGTATGCAACCAATGGAGCAAACAGCTGCATTATGAAGTTGTGCCAGAGTCTTAAAAAAGGTAATGTGTCCAGATTTAAAAACAAACCTTTTGAAATTCTTCTCAAGCCCAATCAGAGACACTCCATGTTCTTCTTGTATGATACCTTTGGAATCCATTATTTTGTAACAAAATAAATCTTTACATCCGATGATTTCCAAATCTATTGTCTCTTGAAAATATGGCTTAAGCCCAGTTCACACTACATGATTTTAGAAAAGTCGGCCGATTCTGAAAACGTGAGAGACCACACACAAGCCTTTTTAAAATCGTAGGTGTAACGGGTTCGATCGTAGAGTGAGGTTTCACTCGAAGACATTCCAATTCCAGATACGAAATCCCTTCAAATTAAAATTCTGCGCTGCCACACCTGAATTTAGAGTAAACAAACAAACATTTTTTTTTTTTTATTATGCGAACAGTATACAAAGACTTGTTGAGGTACAAAGAACATTACAACATAGGTAAATAAGAAACAAAGAAACAAGGGGCTGAAAATACAGACAGAAAAAACAAACAGTAAGGCAAATGACTAAAAAAACTAAGCAAGATTCAAAACAAAAGAAAAGTAGAGATACTGTCAGTCACTTTTTTTGCATACCTAGTTTTCAAAAGTTTCAGGGAAGCATAAAACAGCTTAAACTGATTAATAAAAAAATCAAAACAAGGAGTAGAACCTCTCCATTTACAGCAATGTATATGATATTTAACAAGTAAGAAAACAATATTTACCATATCAGATATTTGATAATCAAGGTTATCAACATAATACAAAATGTGGGTGATATTTATCTCAGGGATGTCTTTAAGTTTGAGACATAAGTTTTTAACATCTTTCCAAAGTTGAAAAGAAAAAGGACAGAAAAAAAGAGATGACTTATGGATTCCTCTGCACATTCGCAAAAGGCACAACATGTTAAATCAAATTTAAATCGTTTGTGCAAAAATTCAGCCACGGGATAAATATTGTGAGAGATTTTGAAATGAGTCTCTTTCACCTTAGGTGAAACCGGCCATTTAACATACAGAAAACGCTTTCTCAATAAAAGACAAATTAGTTGTTACCAAAAAATTATTATTGTAATCATTAAATAATTTAGATTTGAAAGCAGTCACAAGCATACCATTATTACACTTTTGTCAGTCACAATATATTCTCCAATTTTCAATGTAGGTAAGGATGAAGTAACACTTGAAAATCTTAAGGTGTTTTGGATGAGATGGAGCAGAGCTACAGGAATAGCTTTGCATACTTTTACATATTCATTATAAGAACAATTCAGATTAAATTTGTGGGTAAAATCTTTATGATTTAACAAAACACCATTACTATCCATCAAGTCAGTTACAAATAGAATACCTTTCTCATACCAGTCAGTTTTAAAAATAGATTTTCTATTCAGTAATATTGATCTGTTATTCCACACTAGGGATCCATGTGGGGTAAAATTGTGGGTAAATATCATTTTCCAAAAGTGTAAAACTTGTTTATGAAAGTTAGACAATGAAATAGGAATCTTGGTTAATTCAAAATCACATTTAAGCAAGAAATCTAAACCACCTAATTTTTTAAATATTGATTTGGGGATATGAAACCACATCGAGTAGGTCTTTAGCCAATTTATTCTAAAGGAACCAATCAGAGCCTCAAAATCTAAAGCTCTAATTCCTCCTTTATCATAATCTTTAATAAGATGAGAACGTTGTAATTTCACAACTTGAGATATTATGAATTAAATTATGTGGGATTAACCAGTAATCTAGCCTAGAGCATTGGCCATTTCCAGAAGGATTGAACCAGGAGTATTGTCTGATATCAGGATTTCTAAATCTCCAGCAGTCTAACACATTTGTATTAGAGATCAAATTTACAAAAATATCACTATAAATGTGGTGCTGTCCCGAGAGGGGAGACGATCAATCGATCCATCAGGAGGTATATTAAAATCTCCTCCTAAGATAACTTGATCCGTGGAATATTTTATTTTCCAAGATTTTATCATTTCTTCAAGGTCAGCAAAAAAATTACTATTCATCACTTTATTATTATATCCATAAACGCACACCAAAATGATCTTGGTTCCACCAATCTCTACTATTACAGTTACCCAGTGGCCATGTGTATCACTGATATGATCCAACAACAAACCAGGGAATTTATGAAACATTATCATAACCCCAGCTGAATGTGACGAACCTTGACTAAAAAAAATTTGATCACCCCATTGAAGTTTCCAGAATTTAGCCTCCTCACTTGAGGAATGAGTTTCCTGCAGAAAAAAACAATTTGCCTTTTGCTCCTTGCAATAAAGAAAAGTAGCCTTACGTTTAACAATATTTTTTAAATCCCTAGAATTAAGTGAAAGTAAAGACAACATGAAATAAACACAGTAGTTATACAAAAACTGCCAGGAACGATGAGCAGGAATGAGATAACAGCCAATAACAGCTCTAAGGAATAGTGCAATAGCCCTTTAAACAAATACAAACATAACACACCATACCAGTGGCGTAAGGAACATGGCGGTGGAATTAGTCAGGGTCCACTCTTCGATTATCGATCAGGGCGAAGCCTTCCTTCAGGTATGCGCGTTTGCCCCTGCTCCTAGCTTCCTGAACCAGGGGCCACAGTTTAGCCCGGGCGATCCTGTCCTCCTTAGAAAAGTCCTCCTTGAAGCTGATCTGCATTTCTTTACAAACTTTAGCATCTTTGGATTTCCTCCAGACCTCATCCCGCATGGTTCGCATCCCGAACTGAATGATAACAGCTCCGGGACGGTTGTTGGCCGAAGCGGGACCGGCTTTTTTCCCCAATCTGTGAAAGGTGTCGACAGTATCCCGCAGCCGATCCACGGAAACAGGAATGACCCGAGTGAGGATCCCGATGATGGATTCCCGGAGGTTCTCCTCGTCTTTCTCGGGCAGGCCGGTGTTATGCCGAGAAATGCATGCCTGCCGAGAATTGCATCCCCTGTCGCGGGAGCGCGCATCGCTCTAAACTCTCGCATATTGATGAGTAAACGGGCTGAAATCCGACCGAAGAGGAAACTTTTAAAGATATTCGTAACATTATCACGTTTATTAATCATGTAAGCGCTAAAATTGTGGGTTTTATTTCGCAAATTAATTGAAATAAACACTGATTTTTTTCACGTTTACTGAGCCATATTTGTCGAACGTTCTTCAGTGTCTGATGAACAAGTTCTCCGCAGCTGCTTTGAAATTCCAAGATTTTTCTTTTAACACCATAATAGCTTAAAACTTTACAAAACCGAGGCCCAATCCCAATTACGTAGAACATTTTATATTACGCTTAGCTGTCTAGTGTATTAATGTAGGGGAGATGCATTTTAATTTCTGAGCCTGCTAATATTTGCATCCCCTGTCTATTGTCCTGTTCATATGAAACTTATAGTGGTAACTCAGGGAACAAGTGTCATTATGTAGAAAAAATGTAATTTCCAAGTTAGCAGGGGATGCAATTTTTGGCAATATGGATTTCTAGCTTGCCAAAATTTGCATCCCCCCTGTTTTCATCAATATGATCCAATTGAGGTGAAACTCATACCAGCAGTTCTTACAACTACTCTGGTCATGTAGGACAAGTTATTTCACTCTTAACTCTTTATTTCTCAGAGTTAGCAGGGGGTGCAACTTTTGGCAATATGGATTTCTAGCTTGCCAAAATTTGCATCCCCCCCCTGTTTTCATGAAATATTTTCGAAATGATATTAAATTAATTCCAGTAGTTCATAGAACTACTCTGGTCATGTAGAAAAGGTTATTTCACTCTTAACTCGTTATTTATCCAAGTTAGCAGGGGATGCAATTTTTGGCAATATGGATTTCAGCTTGCCAAAATTGCATCCCCCCTGTTTTCATCAAATATTTTCGAAATGATATTAAACTAATACCAGTAGTTCAAAGAACTACATTGGTCATGTAGAAAAACGTATTTCACTCTTAACTCTTTATTTCTCCAAATTAGCAGGGGATGCAATTTTTGGCAATATGGATTTTCAGCTTGCCAAAAATTGCATCCCCCCTGTTTTCATCAAATATGATCCAATTGAGATGAAACTCATACCAGCAGTTCTTAGAGCTACTCTGGTGATGTAGAAAAAGTTATTTCACTCTCAACTTTGTGTTTCTCCAAGTTAGCAGGGGGATGCATTTTCCGGCAATATGGATTTTGCTCCTGCCAAAATTTGCATGTCCTCTCTATTTTTCTCAAATGTTATGCTAATAACATGGAACTCATAGCAGAAGCTCATACAACTATTCTTCTTATGCAGAAGATGTTATTCCACTCTTAATTTTTATTTGTACACGTTAGCAGGGGGATGCGTTTTATGGCACAGCCTATTATCAACCTGCCAAAATATGCTTTCCCTCTCTTTTTTCCTCAAATGTTATCCTATTGATATGAAACTCATACCAGCAATTGAGGGAACAAATGTGATTATATAGAAAAAGCTATTTCACTCATAACTGTTTGTTTTTTAAGCTTGGGGGGATGCATTTTTTGGCATAGCAAATTATGAGCTGCCGATATTTGCATGCCCTTTTTTTCAGCTCAAAAGTGTCGTACAGATTTGAAAGTCACTCTAGTAGCTCAGAGCATACGTGTCATTGTCTAGAACATTTCATATAACACATTACTATCCTAATTCTCCAAATTGCAGGACATGCATTTTCTGACAATTTTCATTTTGAGCACATTCTCAGATGCATTCAATAATATTTGATGACAATAGCGGGGATGCAGATTTTGGCAACCTGAAATTCCACATTGCCGGAAAATGCATCCCCCTGTTAACTTGGAGAAACATAGAGTTGAGAGTGAAATAACTTTTTCTACATCACCAGAGTAGCTCTAAGAACTGCTGGTATGAGTTTCATCTCAATTGGATCATATTTGATGAAAACAGGGGGGGGATGCAAATTTTGGCAAGCTAGAAATCCATATTGCCAAAAATTGCATCCCCTGCTAACTCTGAGAAATAAAGAGTTAAGAGTGAAACAACTTTTCTACATAACCAGAGTAGTTCTATGAACTACTGGTATCAGTTTCACCTCAATTGGATCATTTTGATAAAAATAGAGGGGATGCAATTTTTGGCAAGCTAAAAATCCATATTGCCAAAAATTGCATCCCCTGCTAATTTGGAGAAATAAAGAGTTAAGAGTGAAATACGTTTTTCTACATGACCAGAGTAGTTCCATGAACTACTGGTATTAGTTTAATATCATTTCAAAAATATTTGATGAAAACAGGGGGATGCAATTTTTGGCAAGCTGAAAATCCATATTGCCAAAAATTGCATCCCCTGCTAATTTGGAGAAATAAAGAGTTAAGAGTGAAATACGTTTTTCTACATGACCAGAGTAGTTCTTTGAACTACAGGTATTAGTTTAAATATTCAAAAATATTTGATGAAAACAGGGGGGATGCAATTTTTGGCAAGCTGAAAATCCATATTGCCAAAAATTGCATCCCCTGCTAATTTGGAGAAATAAAGAGTTAAGAGTGAAATACGTTTTTCTACATGACCAATGTAGTTCTTTGAACTACTGGTATTAGTTTAATATCATTTCGAAAATATTTCATGAAAACAGGGGGGATGCAAATTTTGGCAAGCTGAAAATCCATATTGCCAAAAATTGCATCCCTGCTAATTTGGAGAAATAAAGAGTTAAGAGTGAAAATACGTTTTTCTACATGACCAGAGTAGTTCTTTGAACTACAGGTATTAGTTTAATATCATTTCAAAAATATTTGATGAAAACAGGGGGGATGCAATTTTTGGCAAGCTGAAAATCCATATTGCCAAAAATTGCATCCCCTGCTAACTTGGAAATAACGAGTTAAGAGTGAAATAACCTTTTCTACATGACCAGAGTAGTTCTATGAACTACTGGAATTAATTTAATATCATTTCGAAAATATTTCATGAAAACAGGGGGGATGCAAATTTTACCAAGCTACTGCGGACCATGATTATATTGTACATCCACCCGCAGGTAAAAGATAGTACATTGTATATATTTTCCATGTAAGATAATTTAAGTAAAATATAACTGTTGCTATATTATTATTATTATTATTATTATTATTATTATTATTATTATTATTATTATTATCACATAATAATGAAATTATGTGGTTATGCATTTTGTGGAGAGATTGAGTCAATTGCTGTATACATACATGCTCCGACTCAACATGTATTTTGAAAACAATTATTTGAATGAGGCAAATACGTTTGCAAATTCTGCATGAAACACAAGGAAGCCCAGCAGAAAACCAACACATTGGTGCTTTCTCTCATGAATCTTGCATCTTTTTAGAACATCTGGAAAATAACTTGTCCTGACAAGGAAAGGTGAGTACAGTGAATTACCAATAGATACAAATTGTTAAGTGATGCATGTGTGCCGTTGCTTCATATGCATGGAAATAATGTTCATTCACTATTTCTAATCCCATAAAACACTCAAATGAATACAGAAATGTGCAAATACAATTTTTTTCTCCTAAAAGAGGAAATCCTGAAACTCAGGGGATTCCAGCTCTTAATGCAAAAGCCTGTGGTTATTTAAAAAGTCGGAAAGAATGAGGCACTTGACATCCGTCAGACAAGAATGGGTCACTAGACTAGAAGGTTATGCAGTGACTGGCAAGTTATGCAGAAGAGAGTTCACTGTGTAAACAGTGACAATGCATATTGCTGGGCAAAATCATTACTTTACTGCAAAGGCTAGAAAATAGTTATCTTTTTTATTCGTCAGTCTGCTGTACAAATATGTTTTTCAAATGAAATTCTCCAAAATAAAAAAGTAACCTTAACAAATTTTAATGACCACTTCCACAGTGAGGAATGAGATATAGACTTGAAAAAACTTTACATATAATTTATGTGCAGAACATGTATATTTTAGAGCAACTATAAAAGAAAGGGGAAATTGTGAAAGTGTAACACCAATAACATCCTTTTTTGGGGGCAGGTGTTAAATATCTAAACTATTTTTAATCACGAGAGCTCAAATGGAAAAAGGCAGAGTTCTACTTCAGATAAATTTCTTGGAACAAATTAAATATAAACCACAGAGGAACTGAATGTTTTCTAAAACTTCCTGTTTCTTATTGATAAATATGTGAGCATGCATGAGCTTTACAAACATACAAATGTAGTTCTGGCCTGTTTAAAAATAATACTGTGTAATTATGCTCCTAAAACTTTTCACGTTTTATGTTATAGCCACAAACTTTGATCTGTTCTAATTAGGGCCTTTTGTGTTGGTCATTTATGACCAAATAAATAAACAAATAAACAAAGCAGTGCATAGTTTAATGATACATTATCAATACTTTTTTAGAAATAAAAATGTGAAAGGTTTGGGGGGTGTATTTTTTTCAACAACTTTTACTTTGATAGACCAAAGTATAATTCAGTCCAACTCTCTTAGCCCACCAAGTATGGGATAAGAGAGTGAAATGTAGTATAAATATTGCTAGTCCCAAAGGTTGTTTTGAATACCAGAATAATTAGAAAAGTGGAAAAACAGTATATTTTTCCTTCCATTTCACATGTAGGCTAAGCACTACATTTAAGCTTGTAACATCACAAAATGCAAAAACCTTTCAATGTTTTTATACGATGTTTCCAAAGCACTGTAATGCATGATAATTAAGTCGTTGGGTTGATTGGAATAAATTAAACAACCTAGCAGTGGAGTAAACTCCTTCAAAACAACGAAAAGTAAAATTTGACCTTATTTGACTTTCCACGGCTTCCGTACTCTGCGTTTGTTACCAAGGCAGCCAGGAGGAAGCTGCGAAAAAGGGAGCGGACCGTTTTGTGCCTGATTTTTTTTTTATCCTAGCTTCACAAGTTTTCTTTTCGACCCGAACTAGCAATGTCTAATGTTTCGAGACAAAAATGTTTACCGAAATGGGTTTATTGCAGTTTTTGCATTTTTAGCGTGTGACAACATCAAATAGTTTGTTAAACGGCTACGTTGCGTTATTTAAGTGTTTTTTTTTTCGTATTTTAGTCGTATAGAACTACTTTAATATAGTTCTGGTTGGTGGTGTTTTGTCACTTTTTGCTGCTTGTCTCTACTATGTACACACGTTTAGTTTTGTAACTGTAGTGTTGTGGCAATGTAGTGGAGATAACCTCATTCTTGTTTCAGTCTCGGTGTTTTTCACGGCTCCGAAGCAGCTATGTTGATCAGAAAAAAGCTAATATCTTAGATCGTCGACATTATGGGCACCGCATCCTCTTTGGTCAGTCCAGGAGAGGTGATCGAGGATGGATATGGCGGTGAGGGAGGGGAAGCCTGTGAGATACCCGTTGAAGTTAAGCCCAAAGCCCGACTCCTTCGCAGCTCCTTCCGCCGTGGACCTCGAGTCATCGGGGCCAGTTTCAAATCCACGGGCTCCGTGGACCTGGAGTATGCTGCAGAGTACGAGAGACTTCGGAAGGAGTATGAAATCTTTCGCGTCAGCAAAAATAACGAGATCACGTCCATGCAGAAGAAGGAGGCCAAATTGGACGAGGAGAACAAGAGGTTAAGAGCCGAGCTGCAGGTTAGTAAAGAGCTGCATATTGAACTCACTCAGTAACATGCAGTTCTGTCAAAATGTATCTCCCTCCTTACGTATTTGTTTTCTTTGTGCTTCTTAATGTTTTAAGTCATCAGACACAACTTGCGTAAATTATATATAAAAATATATATATTAAGTATTAAACACTTAATATATGTAGAAGTATTTACCCCCTTCACATAGGTCCAGGGTGAATTAAAAACAACAAAAGAAATGATTTATTTTATTAAATAAAAAGTGCATTGTGTGTTTAGGCAAGTCTTTGTTCCATATCAACTTAGTTTTTTTATGCTTTGTGATATTTTATAGTGACAAAAAGCAAAAGAAGAGGAAATCTCTGTTGTAGCAAATAAATGTTCATATAACTGTATTTATAAGAGGGTGGGTGTTTAAACTGTTCTGCTGGGGTTTGACAGGCTCTTCAGAAAACCTACCAGAAGATTCTCAGAGAGAAAGAGGCTGCTCTTGAGACAAAGTACCAAGCTATGGAGAGGGCTGCCACATTTGAGCATGACAGGGACAAAGTAAAACGGCAGTTTAAGGTAAGTATTATTTTTGTACATTTTGTGGCAGCAGTTTTCAAAATTGGTACCAGTAATTTAAACTGGGTATTTACTTAAATTTAGATTTTCCGAGAGACAAAAGAGAAAGAGATACAAGATTTGTTGCGTGCAAAAAGGGATCTGGAGGCCAAATTGCAACAGTTGCTGCCTCAGGGTATCCACATTTTTAACCTGAATGACTCTGACTCAGATGATAATCAAACCACTGTGACTGGTAAGATGCATATATCTACACACACCAGGTCCAGTTTTCTTCTTTTTCTTTCTAGTTGTGTTTAAGTCCACATACTCTTCTTGTATTCTACAGCTGTAGGAACTCAGTGTGAATACTGGTCTGGTGGGGTGCTGGGAAGTGAACCTTCTATGGGTAGCATGATGCAGCTTCAACAGACATTCAGAGGACCGGAGTTTGCACACAGTTTAATAGATGTGGAAGGACCCTTTGCAAATGTCAGCAGAGGTAAGAAAATTATTCCAAAGGCATCATGTAGCAATAGTTAAATTAGTCACTATGGATGGGTGGACTTCCTGTGTAAAGGCTCACCTCTTAGTTTTAAAACTAGACTGGTTCTTTATCTCAATGCGTCATCTGTTTCTAACCTGTTTTCCCAAAACTATCAAATAAAAACAGAATAAATAATAATGTTAGTATATTCCACAATAGTTGCAACTAAATTATGAGTTTGCTATTTCTTTTAACACCATTGATATATCACAGAGAGTTTGTTTAAAAATTGATTAGTTTCTAACATGTAGACTGCATTATTGCCTCGTGTTTCTCTTCCTTCAGATGACTGGGATGCTGCAGTAGCCAGTCTACTTCAAGTGTCACCTCATGTACCCCAGGCCTTGTGGAGTAACACTGTGCGCTGCTACCTAATCTCCACACAAGATACCAAAGCAGAGATGGACATTTTTGTCAAGGTCAGTTTAATTGAAATTTAAAGTCAGTAACTATAATTGTTGTTTTTAGGGGATAGTTTGAGATTTATATCACTTGTATAAAGCACCTTCATAGACATAGCTGTTTGAAAGACATGCATCTGACTTGGTATTTAATGACTGGAGCAGATTTAAAGTACATTTAACTATACTAATGTTCATAACCTGATCACTCTCGTGTCTATCTGAATGAATGAATAGCTTGCTTTCTAAACTAATATCTAATCAAGTTAGTCACAAATCAAACAATATTGCTTCAATGCTGATTAACTAAATCATAACAATAAGTATAAAATGAAAATGATGCTGGCAAACAGAACCCACATACATAATTAAACAGAACGATTGATCACTCCAACCCTCTGGTCTGGATAGGCACATCTTACTGGTTTGGACAATCTATAAAAATGAATTAATTTTGGATTTTCAAATGATAATTTATTTATTTATTTTTTACATAAGAAGAAATGTTAGTAACACATTTTAAACATAACCAAAAAAGGTTATGCACGCCTGATGTTTTGGAGATATTGATCTTGTTATTTGAACTGGTAAGTGCTTTCAATAATAATTTTCTTTTAAATGTCATTTGTTTTATTGACAGAAACACTCTGCAGTGTTACGGAGAATGTGCGAGGGTCTGGGCCATTTCTACCTAAACGTTTACTTTCCAGAGGAGAATGCTGCTTCATACGCTGTGGTGCGGAGGCAGGAGATTGAGCGGAGTTCAATATGTGTGCTTCTTCTCAAATCCACCGTTACAAGGTATTGACTGCACATCCTGTGTGATTAAAAACTTTTCTGTCGTGTGAAAAACATATTTTTTTTAAGGAGAACAGCTGAGTTTGAGTTTTGTGACAGACAATATCTTCAAAATAAAGACATGGAAACGCTCTCAGTACGTTGACATTTATCAAACAGAAATAATTTTTGTATTAATAACTTGCCTAAACAGGAAGTGCTTTGTCTGATTTAAGGTCAGACATGCAGAAAGGGTAAGCTTTTGTTTTCAGAAATAATGGATCTTTATAATTCATTTTTGCAGCTCTGTGGTAGAAGATTGTGAGGAGGCTTTTGTTAAAAACCCAGATGGACATCCACTGGTGCTGTACCTCAGGACTGAAGAGGACAGGGGTTTGAGCGGACCCATTAGGCAGCTGTTGGAAAGGATTAATGCTGCAGACAAGGCTGCCAAAGTCAAGGTGTGGAGATTATACATTAAGAGAATAGAAGGAAAAAAATTATTAATACTATGTCAGATCTGTAGTATCTGATATAGTATTACATAATAAAATTTTTTGCTTTGACCTTACTGTTGTTCGCCAAGAGTTGTTGATAATATTACAACATGTTTATCATTCAGTGTTTATCATCTATCTATTACTAAATATAAAACAAAATTAAGATTCATAGTCTTTCATTTTAAATATTCCCCAGGTGGTGGATCAAAGCAGCTCTGCAGAAGAAGGGGCTAGCTTGATTTATGCTCAGCTAGAGAAAGTCATCAAACAGGTGTACTATTATTCATATGCATTGGTTTGTTTTGTGTCATCACCTTAAGGGTGGTGTATACAGACATAATTTTTGACTGGCTGTCCTCTCTATTATTTTTAAGCACTATATTATATCTTCCTCGTATAGGAATTGTTGGGTTTTGAAGGAGGAGATGATGACTCTAAGGATGTTGCCATAGAGGAGGGCCGTGAGGAAGACCTGGGAGATGTGCTTTGGGATCTGCATGACGAACAGGAGCAGATCGAGTCTTACCAACAGGCTTGCAGCAGCACCACCTCTCAATTAGGTTTCCAAAAGGTACAACATGCATGCATATTCTGTTCTAATCTCTATCATTACCTTCAAAATGCCTTACTTTCTATTCATTAATATCTGTCGCTCTGTGCTGCATGCGCTGCCCTTCTCAGTATATAGATCGTTTAAACGACATGATAGCTGCCCCACCCCCCACCCCTCCTCTGCTGGTATCTGGGGGTCCAGGCTCAGGAAAGTCTCTCTTGCTTTCCAAATGGTGAGATCATTTTTACACAAAAAATACATTTATCAGTTATATTGGCTAAGATCTTTTTAAACCAACTTAAAGATCCATTCTTTCAGTTTGGCTCATTTTTGGTAATTATTTGTGTTCTATTACTTAAGAATTTTAACAAACATTGTCTTTTTTATTATTGTATTGTGTCTTAGTTAGTTTAATTGTCAGTGTGTTTCTGTCTATCTTTTTTAATGCTACCGTTAACACTGCTTTATATAAAAAGTGCTCTTCAAATAAAGTTTGATTGACTGTTTGATTAAGAATTTGATGCAGGATATAATCAATGTGATGGATTATTATGAAGGACATTCTTTTTAGCTTTGTGTGGTTTTCCTGTTAGTCGTGAATTGCTTTTTTTTCTGCAGGATTGAGCTGCAGCAGAAGCAATCCCCCAACACTTTGTTCCTTTATCATTTTGTCGGCCGCCCACTTTCCATAAGCTCTGAGCCAGTTCTCATTATCAAACGCCTCACAGTGAAGGTAAAGAGTGACATGCTTCAACCAAAAACATGTTTTACTTGACAAATCGGAGAATTTGTTTACTGTTAATATCTTGTCACTTAGTTGCTGCAGCACTTTTGGTCCATTTCTGGTTTATCCATGGATCCCAGTAAGATTTTGGAAGAGTTTCCTCGCTGGCTGGAGAGACTATCTGCACGGCACCAAGGAAACATCATCATTATCATTGACTCAGTCGACCAAATAAAGGTATAGCCCTTCTCTAATTTAAACCCAACATATTTTATCTCAGCCTGTATGGTTTAATTCCACATTTCAGGAATCTTTTTTGTCCATTTCAGCAAGCAGAAAGACACATGAAGTGGCTGATCGACCCTCTTCCTGTAAATGTCAGAGTGGTTGTGTCTGTCAATGTAGAGACGTGTCCTCAGGCATGGAGGTAATGACTCTGACTGCAACACTTTGAATTTATTAGTGTGATCCATATAGGTTTAAAACTGAACTCACAGGCCCAGATGTATACGTACACTCTCAAAATATATTTGGGTAAATATCCCTGATTGAGTTGCAGAGAAACTGCATGTTTCTTCTGTAGCCATCAGCAAGGTTCTAGCATCATTCAGGCTGGATAATTGACCACTCTTCTTTTAAGAAATAAGAAATAATGTTTAAATTGGTGAGCATTTGCTAGCATTTCTAAATCTGCACTTTTTGGTTGCATCTGTAAAAGAAAAACTACTTTTTCTCTTTAGATTGTGGCCCACACTTCACTTGGACCCACTTAGTGCCAGAGAAGTTAAGAGTGTAGTCAGTGCAGAGTGTCAAACCACGGATTTCAGGCTCACCAAGGATCAGGTCAGACTGCTTGTTTGAAGTATTTGAGATAGAAAACAAATGCTTGTTTTTGTAAAACCTAGACATTTTGTTGTAGGAGAAAAAGCTGGAAAGGCACTGCCGCTCTGCATCGACATGCAACGCATTATATGTCACACTGTTGGCAAGGATCATCACCAGGTCTGTTGTGTCTTTTTGGTTCGTTATGTGCAGAAAAAAAGGAAAATGAAGAAACTTGTAGATGTTTGATTTTAGATTGATTAGATCTGGATTGACCTTAGGTTCTTTGATCCTATTGGGGTTATATTTTGACAGTTACAGACAATTTCCTTCAAATTCTACTTAATTTTTTTAAAACCGATTGAGAACCGGACAGTAATTCTTAAAACATATCACAATTTTAAATTACCTACTCTTAGTATTTGCGTATAAGTGTATTTCGATGCATTTAGTGTATTTTGTAATGTTTTCTGGGAAACATTTTTAACATTTTCGTATACTATGTTTTTGTCTGACAATTTGTTGTTACATAAAATTTTCTAAGGATAATTCTGTATATTTTGGATTCATAGTTTTCAATCTGGCTGGTCCTTGGAGAAGAGCTTGGAGCAGTGTCTGCAGTGTCAGGACACCTTGTCTCTGTACCGCCTGGCACTTAAATTGATGTTAAAGTTCCTCAACACAGACAGAGAGAGACACATAATGAAAGAGGTGAAATAAAGTCATTTCTGGACTTTGCTGTTATTGCATCAGTAGATAAACAAATACTCACATTAGACTGCATACTTTTTGACGCACTGCAGAAAGATTTGCATATTGTATTTTTTTTTCTCTCCTAGATGCTGTGCCTTGTATTTTCCAGCCACAACGGAGTAAGCGAGTCAGAGGCTTTAGATCTTTTCCCAGAGCTGGAGTGGGCTGCTCTGTCTTCTCTGCTCTACCACCTGAACAGACTCTGCATTGTGACCCTTCGCTGTGGACTCATCAGGTTTCAGCACCTGCAGGTAGGCTCACTGTTAAGAACACACAGAGAAAGAAAATGCAAAATATATACAAGTGCAATATTTTCAAGTGCTGTGATTAAAGAGCAGCTAAATGATAATGTTCTTCTTTGCCAGCCATTTTCTGTCTGGAACCTCAGCATAATTTGGATTCATCCAGTTTACGGCCAGTTCCTTCTCTTTGTAGTGACACCATCTATTTCTGCTTAAAATAATTATTACACTCGCATAGAGGCCAGATTTCTCTATAAGCATTACCTCTGAAACCAAATATTTCCATGCAGAGGGAGGTGGATCATATTTGATTCACTTCATCATCATGTTAGCGCAGAATCGCAGTGAAATAGACATGCTGACACCTGCTGACTCATTGTGGTACTGATTTTTTTAGATAAACTTTTAGATAATCCCAGGATTCCAGGATTTGTTTGTACATTTCCACAAACAATTAACAAATACATCCCAATGAAATAGAATGCCATGAAAAAGTTAATTTATTGTAGAGGTATAGTTTAAAAACTCAAATGCCACACTGTAGCATATTTCCAGAGCTTATTTCTGTCAATTTAATTAAAAATCGAATATTCTGTTTTTCAGGTAGTTTGAATAGTATACAACACCAGACGGAAATGTTATATTATGAACATGTTATCAGAGGACAATTTACAAAGGACAGTATTTAAGCATATTAATGGAAAGTTAAATGGAAGAAAACTCACGATCCCAGTCGGGACAAGGGTGAACAGATAATGGATGGATGGATAAATGGAAGAACAAAAACTGTCCAAACTAATTTTTATTAACTGTATATCAACAGTTTAATGGCAGTCTAATTTCTAATGTGCTTTTATACCTTGTTGTCCAAAACCACTCTGTGATGTTGACTGTTTAACTTTTAAAATTTCAGTCAATCTATATATGTAAGGTCCAGCATTACTATGTTAAAAGACTTAATGTCATTTGTATATTTCTAAAATAGATGTCATTCTAATATTTGTGAGTGAAAGAGTTGTGTTTTTTTATTATTATGATTATCTGTCTGCCTTTCAGGCTTGTGAGGCTGTGAAGCTGGAGTTCCTAGGTGGAGGAAGTGGTTGTGCTTCTTACAGAGAGAAACTAATCCATTACTTCAACCAGCAGCTCAGGTTGTGCAGAATATCCGTCCATCCCTCCAACATTTGCGTCACGTATTGTATGCTTCATTTGGTGAAACTCAAATCACTGTTTGTAAATTTGTAGCCAGGACTGCGTCACATGGCGAGTTGCAGATGAGCTTCCCTGGCTGTTCCAACAGCAGGAGGACAAAACCAAACTTCAGCTCAGTCTTTTGAACCTCTTTGTCTCCCAAAACCTTTACAAGAGGTAAATATTTGTGTTGACTGAAAATGTGTCTAGTTAGGAGACAGTATTCCTCATTCTAAGGTATTGCCTCTTGCTTTTCTTCCCCAGGGGTCATTTCTCTGAGTTGCTGGCTTATTGGCAGTATGTGGGCAAAGACAAAAGCTCCATGGCAACTGAGTACTTTGACTCCCTAAAACGTTACGAGAAGAGCTGTGAAAGCGAGGACAGTATGACAAAGCTTGCAAACCTTTACGAAACTTTAGGTCGGTTTCTCAAAGACCTGGGCCTGCCAAGTCAGGTAGATCTTGTTTGTTTGTTTTGGTCATACTTAGAAATCTATTAACACTTCTGCCTGGCTGATGATGTTTTCTTTTGTTGTTGTTTTTTGTAGGCTGTTGCTCCTTTGCAAAGGTCTCTTGAGATCAGAGAGACAGCCCTGGACCCCGACCATCCCAGTGTTGCACGCTCTCTGCACCAGCTGGCTGGAGTTTATGTCCAGTGGAAGAAGTATGGGAATGCTGAACAGCTGTACAAGCAAGCACTTGAGATAAGCGAGAATGCCTACGGCACTGAGCATGTTGCTGTTGCACAGGAGCTGGAGTCACTCGCCATGCTCTACCAGAAGCAAAACAAGTAAATGTGACTTTTGTGTACTCTCAAACTAAGATGATCATTTAGGATTATTTTTATGAAGACCATTCAGCTTTTCATTACATAATGTAAATTTACATTCAAGACTGGTTATTTCTTGCACTTTAACCATCAGGTATGAACAAGCTGAGAAACTCAGGAAGAGGTCAGTAAGGATTCGGCAAAAGACAGCGCGACAAAAAGGTCAGATGGTGAGGGAATTCTACAGATACTAACATTTGAGAAATTGCAAAAGCACTCGTGTTCCCTCAACTTTAAAATATTTTATTGGGCTTTTGTGTGACAGACCTACAAGTAATGAAGAATTGTGAAGTGGAAGAAAACTGATAACCTGTTTTTAAAAATGTTTTCCACATAGGTCAAAAAGTCTGACTTGTATTTAAATATAGATCCGTTTACTCTAATACACTGAAATAAAATCCACAATAGTCATTAAAACTAATTTAATTAGCAAGTTATTCATAATTGTTAAGTGGAAGAAAAAACTTCAATTGGTTTTCTAAGTGTGGCACAAATAAAAATGATTCTGATGTGGAATGGTATTCAACCCTTCACTGTAATCCCCCTAAATGAGCCTAGTTGTGCTTATTACTTTCAGAAGTCACATAATTAGTTAACAGAGACCACCTGGGTGTATTTTAATATCAGTAAATCTATGTGTTGTGTTAATGCGTCAGAGGTTTATTCGAAAACATTAGAAAGAGAACAGAATCATGAAGGAGTGCAGCAAAGAGGTCTGGGGTAAAGTTGTATTGGTTTCAGAAAATATTCCAACTTTGAACATCTCCCAGTGCATTGATTTTAAAAGCTTGTGTTGCCTCTATCTAACAGTAACTTGATAGGAAAGAAGGAAGACATACAACAGATGTTCCAAGATGGGTGAACTCAATGCAGCCTCAGGGACGACTGTAGCCCTACCAAATCACTTTCCTTAAACGTCACAATTTTACACTACTTTAAGTAGGGCTATCGCACACAATTCCAATGTAACACTTTGATATCTATTGTTATTAAAAAATTATCACTTATGTAGTCCACTACTCAAGTAAATAAGTATCTTACTGACTTAACTGAACGTCTTAAGCCTACTGTATTCATTTTATTAATCCTGTGTCAGTATGGATTCACTTTGTTGAGACGCAGAGCCCTCCAGCTGGAAGAGCTGACCCTGGGGAAAGACTCTGCAGACTGTGCCAAGACGCTCAATGAGCTGGGTGTCCTCTACTACCTCCAAAACAACCTGGAGTAAGACCCACATCAGTTCACCTTCAGCACTGCATAATAAATATCTAGCATGAAGTTCTAACTTGAAGCAGCAACATTTGCCAGTATTCTTTTTTTTTTTTGTTTACCTTTATCCATAAAATTCTTCTTCATTTACCTCTCACCAGTGCTGCCAAGGTGTTCCTGACTCGCTCTCTGGAGATGCGCCAACGTGTGCTCGGTCCAGATCACCCAGACTGCGCGCAGTCTCTCAACAACCTGGCCGCGCTGCACACAGAACGGAGGGAGTACGAAACGGCCGAGGACATGTACGAGAGGGCGCTGGAGATCCGCAGGAAGGCCCTGTCACCGGACCACCCCTCTCTGGCGTACACCGTCAAGCACCTTGCCATGCTCTATAAACGCAGAGTGAGACATAATCAAAACCAAATGTCTAGATACTTTTCTTGTGAACCTCACAATGTTTTATTTCGGTTTTTGGTATTTAATACTTGGATTGATGTTTCCTACAAAGGGCAAGCTGGAGAAGGCTGTTCCACTCTATGAGCTTTCTCTGGAAATCAGGGAAAAAAGTTTTGGTCCCAAACACCCAAGTGTGGCCACAGCACTGGTGAACCTCGCCGTCCTCTACTGCCAACTGGTGAGACTCATCATCAAATACTCTTCCTTGATTTACTGGGCATTTAATGAAAATGTTCATACACAATACAATACAATACACAAACATCAGTGTAGTTTAACTTTTGATTAAACAGACTATTTCAGTTTAATTGCTGTTTGCAATAAAATGCTAATTTTTTTTAAGTCTCACTTCCATTTCTTTTTGCACTTTAAAGTTGTTTTTAGAACCTTCTTAAGATTCAACAGTGCAAAACAGAAATTCTTGTAATTTTTCAACTAAGCTTAAAATTTTGATCAGGAGTATGTGTTGACAGTTGTGTGCATTTGTTATTTTTGTAGTTTCAATTGTTATTATTTTTAGGTTTTATGGCACAGAGCAACCTGCAGGTTTCATTTATTTACACAGAAGAAGCACAATGAAGCCTTGCCACTTTATGAGCGAGCGCTGAAAGTCTATGAAGATAGTTTGGGCCGCTCACATCCACGGGTCGGAGAAACCCTGAAGAACCTGGCTGTTCTAAGGTACCAAAAATACGATTGTTTATCCTTTTTCTTTCCTTTGCATTACTTACATTCTTTCTTACTTCTCTTGTTTTTAACTTGTCTTCTAATGTAGTTATGAGGAAGGTGACTTTGAGAAGGCTGCAGAACTTTACAAGCGTGCGATGGAGATTAAAGAAGCAGAGCCGTCGTTGGTGTGTGGCAACGCTCCGTCACATCATTCCTCCAGCGGAGACACTTTCAGTCTGAAGACGCCTGCTCCTCAACCACATGCTGCGAGGTGACTCTGTTCACTGCTATCACTGCAGGATGGTTTGCTATAGAACAGCTACAACTGAAAATCCCAGTCTTTATCAAAAAGGGAATCATTCATTGTGATATATACTTTATGAAGGCACAAGCAGAAAGCTTTGTGGAGGAAGAAGCATAGCACAGAACAATATGTTCAAAAACGGTACGCTGAAGAATCTTTTTTCCAAATGAACTTCTGAAAAATTCAGGATAAAGGAAAAGGCAGTTTACTGTTTGGCTTTTTCACATTTGCTTTGTGCACATTTAATCCAAAGCAGAATGAGCAACTATGAACAGCTGTGAATGGCCTAAATGTCCAGTATTCCAGGAGACTGTTGGTGTATTTCAGATAATCTTTCTCTGCTCTAACTGTACACCTTTATTCACTTTTAATCTGGGCAAGTTTTCTCTGAATATTTTGTGTCACAACAACACTAAAATAAAGAAAAACTGTTCTCATTTGTGTCGTAATGTCTGTGAAACCCTCAGAAACTTTAAGTATTTTCAAAAATGTTGTATTTAAAGCTAACCTCAGCAGACTTCACTATTTTTGCCTTTAAGTACCCTGAAAATGTGCCAGTTAATACTCTTCTGGATTTCCATTGATAATTTTCATGCACTTGCAGTTTTTACTATAGTAAGGCATGAATAACACCAACATCCAAGTAAAACAGGATTTTATTCTCATGTTTAAACTCACCTCCCTCTAATAAACTGAATCATGAGATCTCAAGCTCTTACATTGTAATGTTTACATATTTCAAAGCTGTCAATTTTTTTTAACCAAACTAAATTTTTTAGTGACAATTGTTTAAATATTGTAATTTATGTTACAGCACTTGTAATGTCTACCTAACCCTGGAACAAGCAAGCACAGTTCAAAACAAGATTTTAGTATGTGTAAGAAATGTTCTCATGCCAACATCATGATTTTTATGCAAAAATAAAACAGATAAACTGTTAGCTTTAATGACAATAAAAAGACATACTTAAAAAAAAAACGTTTGTGCCTCTTACATTTCTCTCTCAAAATGATGTGCAGTCAAAGGTTTGTCTTATATAAAATGTACAATGTTATTTTTTATTTCATATTTTCATGTTAAGTGGATCTCAAAAGTGTTCATACCCAAGTTTGGCATATGTGACAAAAAAGGGGGACCATCATCATTTTAATGCTTCTACATTCAAGAAGATAATTTTATGATCACACGAGTTGTTTTGGACATGTTACACTAAACATGGAAGTTTTCAAATCATTTATCAAGTTTTTGTTCTTTACATCAAAAATGTCTGACAATTTAACTTGGGTCTGTGCAGCTTCTATATCCACTCTAGTCATGTCATAATATAGAAATCTACTGAAAAATAAATGAATCAACCAACATTTTAGAGATTAAATTGAATTTAATAAATACTTTATTGAGACAGTGTTCAGTAAGTAGCAGAAAGACATGATTGAAACGTTTTAAGGATTCAGAGTAAAATTGTAATGAACAGATTAAAGAGCAACTGCTTTTTAATTTGGGGTGTTAGTCATTTTTGTGAGAATCTGATGTCATTCCAAGTGATACTATGTGTGCATGCAACCAGTATCATGCACTATATATCTTTCACTTTCAGTTTATTTTTTTACATTTGGACTTTGGGATGAGAATGTTAAAAAAAAGAGTACAGACTAAAAAAAAAAAGAAAGAAAAACTTAAATGTTCTGCAGAAAAGAGTCTTCAGATCACTGTCTACAACTTTCTCATCTGAGCCATTAAATCTTCTAAGCTCACTTCAGTCTCCTCCACGGTGTCTCCACTGACCTTTTCCTGGTACAAACACAACAGGACATGATTGTCAAAATTATTTACAGGTAAATGCAAAGACGTACAGAAATTGTCTTTATTTTCCACCATTATTGAATTTAACCAGCTCCTACAGTTGTTGGAAAGTTAAAGGTAACTCACCCCAGCTGGAATGGTGTATGCCACAGTAATGCCATCTGGCAGGTCAGGCACAGCCCCTGAAGCAGCCTGTAACTCAGCATCGGTCACTTCAGACACCAGTTCGATACCTGCACAACCAAGATGGGTGTGTTTATTGTAGCTTAGAAAGAGCAAGCACAGCAATTAGAACGAGAAGAACCAGAGCTTCTGCTGACCCCATTCGTTGTCTTCATGTATGATCTCTTCCTCTTCCTGCTCCACAGCTTCCACCTTGGGCCGCTCTGCTTCTTTCTTCTGAAGACAAAACACCACACAGGTAGAAAACTGTAAACTTTCTGATTGGTAAAGCAACTAGCAGAAGAATTCATATCCTCACATTTTCTTCAGATGCAATCGTAGAATTTAAAGTAGTTTATCAGGATTTTAGACGATAGGACAACACAATATAGTGTATAAGTGTGAGGAAGAAGAGTTGATGCTTTTCAAACAAAAAATCATCACCACAGCACAATGCAACAACTATGTACCATTTTATGTTGGTTTAGAACATCTCCCCCCCCAAATTTTTTTTATTTAATTTGCTGCAAAATGAGAAAATGCAGAAATGTTTAGGCAGTGTGAATATCATTATAAGGCATCAGTAAAAGCGCGAAGCAGAAGTTCTTGAGAATCTTGAGTCAAGTGTGCTAACCTTGAATTCCTCTTGTTGCCGTCTGCAGTGACGGTCATTGCACTGTGGGTTGGCTTTCATGGCCATGGTCGGAAAAAAGTCCTGCATGGCGTTGTATCCGAGGTAATAGCTGACCGTACCAAACTTTAGGAGATATCTGAAGAACAAAACATCAAATTTCCGTTAATCCTTAAAGTCTGCAAGGTTCTGTATTTGTAAAACCACTATGTGTTTCATGCCAGGCAGAAAGTTGACCACGTACTTGAGGACATTTTGCACCAGGAGGCCTGCAACCACACCCATAGTCGTTGGCAAGCTGGCGGCACACACACCCTCCCGCTTTAGGGTTTTCTCATCGATGTTAGCAGCTACTACCAATGGAGGGGCACACTAAGCGGATAAAATCCACATAGTCTTGATGAAAAGAACAATATTAATGACATACAGAAGCATTTGCTCCTGCCCCTGCCTACGTACAGCAAAGCAAGCCGTCTCTCCAGGAATTATGAGCTGGATGTGTCCTGACACAGCGTTTTCACTCACGCCGGACTCCATCCAGATCTGACCCAGTTCGTTACAGGCCTGAAATAAAAACACAGAGATATTACAATGTGAAAGGATCACCCTGTTGACCCTCTTTCTTCTCACAATGAGGTGCTTACTGTATTGATGGCCATCCTGGCCTCAAAATTATCCACACAGCTCAGAACCAAATCCACTGGTTTTCCTTCTTCTAACCCTCCCTGACTAAAAAAGACAAAAAGATTTATATTTACAAACAAGCCTTCATACGTACTAATCTGTCAAGTAGGGAAACCAACCTGATGCGATCCATGAAATGTGTGAAATTGTCCAGTGTTGTGATGTTGTAATTATGGGTTTCAAATCCCACATCTGGATTAATATTTCTGTTGCGGGAGAAATAATGAAGGCTGATAAAGGTAGGAGAAACAGGGAATGGGGGACGGTGTCCCTCTGCTGACAAGATGTTACCTGAGTGTGTGTTCTGCTGCCTCCACCTTACTCAGCCCTGCTTGGTGAGGCTGGAAGAATAGTCTGTTCATGTTGGCCAGCTCTACTTTGTCATAGTCAAAGAGCAGCAGCTGCAAGGCCAATAATGAAACAGCATGAAGGCTTTGAACACGTGGCAAGAAAATGGAGAGGTATCCAACACAAAGGTAAAAATGAGAAGGTTTTATTACCTTACCGATGCCACATCTAGTGAGCATTTCAGCTGTCACGCTGCCGACGCCTCCGACACCAACTACAGCTACTGAAAATGTCCGGATTTTCTGTCAACAGAATCCCAAACAGCTGTTCAACAACCCAACTGGCAGAATGTAAAGTAAACAAAATCCAGTCCAGTTCAGTCACAATAAGCAAGCATATTACATATTGTGATTGTAGTATGCTTGATGTATCATTAATGATAATCCTACAGATATGTAAAGCTAAGCATGTGAGGACATATGAACATCAGTTCTGTTCCTTTGTTTTCTTCATGTTTATCTTCAGCAAAAACACATATGAAAGGGAAGAGGAGCAGCCAACTATAGAGAACGTTTTCTATGAAATGTCCTACCTCATAATCATCCACGATGCCCATTCTTTTTAGAGCCATAAGGCGGCTGAAGCAGAAACACAGCAGAGATTAGTTTGTGGTCCATGGGAATCCATTCAAGGAGGCGGTGAGTCACAAGGCGTCGCCTCTTGTTACTTTTTACTCTTTCACAAATATAAATAAAACTATGAAGAAAAAAAACGGTCAAACTTAAATGGAGAAGTCACCTGTACGGGTTGGAGTCCACTACCTCGGCGCTCATCTTGTCAATTTTGGGTCTATTGTGAGCATCCTCCGCGGCACACTGCCTTTGCTTACACTTTATCAGTTCATTTTCCAGCTCTCTCACCCGCAGCTTCAGCTCCTCCACCGTCGCCATTGATCCTGCTCAAGAACGGCGCTACGCTGTGGGTTTATGAGCCAAAGCAGAGGGAACGAAAACACGCTTAAAACCAAACCAGAGCAGAGAGAAGTCCACGTCTTCTTTTCTTGAATCAGCTGTCAGGATGTGTGCGTCCTTGAACAGCGTCCGTGTGGAAAGTGACGACACGGACCTTCAACTGTTCCGGCATCCGTGGAGATTTTCGACGAATTGTCCTAAGTATTATCAAAATATTGCTTGCACAAGTCAGTATATTAGTTACATTATTATAAGCCATTTTGTGAAAATTAGGTCGAGTAGATTTTTTCTCAGGTAAAAAAAAAAAAATGCCATCACTGAAGTTGGCGTGTGATTGATAGCTTCCGCCCTCCCCCTCTCTATTTTTTTTTTTTTTTTTTTTTTTTTTTTTGTATTTTGAACATGCAGTCCAAGTTTTACATTCGTAAAACTTGGACTGCAGTTTTCTGTAATGAAAACATCTATGATGAAGGAAAACAAGACATATTGCTCTGAAACCATTTTCAAGAGGGTCCCTGCTCTATAATATTACTGAACGACTTTCTGCAATACAGGAATATAAAAAGAATGTAAACATATAATTTGTAAAAAAAAAAATCTAATTGAAAACACTAAAGAAATGTTCAGTGCTATGGTTGCAGCTACTTTAGATAGGTTTGAACATAAAAAAATTGCCACAATAAGAAGAAAAACTTGAAAGAAATATTCTTCACTACTTAGATCTTCATGTAAGACTTGAAGGCGCTAAAATTGCCTTCATTTTTCATAAACAAAGTTAATTCTTCACAAATCCCAAACAATGTGGCGCACAACCTTTGCAGTAGACTCAACGCCGAAAAAGAAACCAACTTCAGCCCTGTGAAAGGTATGTGCAGTCCGCTCGGCTCAACAGTGTCAGGCAATAATTAACTCGGAAGACCTGACCTGAGACATGGAAGACCAACCGACATCTGTGCGAGAACAACATAAGTTCAATGTTGGCCACCTTCAAAGATACCTGTATGAGAAGTCACTGGTGTCTAAGAACGACACTCTGACCGTGAGGCAGTACAGGTAAAAAAAACTCAATCTCAGCGGTCTGCTTTCTCTTTCCCATTCACTAATGATAAGAATGCTAACGCAATGGCTTATCTTTGCAGCGCTGGCCAGTCTAACCCAACCTTCTTGATTGAGACACCTTCAGCTAATTATGTTCTCAGGAAGAAGCCCCCCGGCGCGCTGCTGCCGGGGGCGCACAAGGTCAGCTTTACTTATGGGCTGTCAATCACTTGCGCAACAATGTTCCAAGACTTTTAATCATAATATTGCACGTTAATTTGCTAACTTTCTAGATGCAGTTGTGTCTCTTTACAGCAGAGGGCAGCAATACATCCCTAATTCAATTTGTAGATTATTACTGGAACAATGAGGAAAATCTTTTATTGCTTCGATTTAACGTTATAATGTTATATAATATGCGTTAATGACAATGCCTCATGCAATATGTGTACAGTTGGTTAATTTTTTTAACGTGAAATAATAGTTTTTCTACTTTTGTGCACAGATGTATTCTCTCTCTCTCTATCTATATATCTCTATCTATATATATATATATATATATATATATATATATATATATATATATATATATATATATATATATATATATATATATATATATATATTTTTTATATAGAAATGTGTATTTTCACAATATTTAGAAGTGACAGTGCTTACATAGAACAGCATTGCAAAAATTACATTTAATTGTTTTTGTCTTGGTATATCTCATGGAGTTAGCAATGATGATATATAATGGATGATATTCAGCTGTTTGATAGCCATCAGCTTATTGGTGAAGAGTGTAATAATAATTACACTTGTTAAAATCTTTATCTGGTGCGTCAACACCCAAAATTCACCTTTATTGTTTGAACAACCCAAATTTGGCCTTGGCGCTCAGAGAGTATCCCATGTTGCATTCAGTGGTGCTCACCTGTGTCTGGACATCCTACAGGTGGACAGAGAGTACCGGGTGCAGGCGGCTCTCTACTCTGCTGGTTTTCCCGTTCCTCAGCCGCTTTTGTTCTGCAATGATGCTGAAGTAATGGGAACAGAGTTCTATTTGATGGAACATGTAAAGGTAAGCATTGTACAACAACATATGCATTTATTTGATCTGTTTTACACCCTTTCATACGTTTTTTTCTTCTATTTTATAACTATGCACAGTTTTGTGTTGGAGACTTTAATTCACTAAAATACATGAAAATTTATGGTTGTAACATGATGGAAAGGTTCACAAAGTTCAAGGAGTGTGAATACTTTTGCTGCAATGTACGCTACATATTACACAATAACATACCCATTCAATTTGTGTTTAATCTGTTGTTGTTGTTTTTTTGTATGTTTTATCATGAGCAGGGCCGCATTTTCAGGGATTTTCAGCTCCCTGGAATGAGCCCAGCTCAAAGAACGTCCATATATACAGCTGCAATGGAAAACCTGGCAAAGCTGCATTCACTGGATTTACCATCACTAAAGCTTGAAGGGTTCGGGAGAGGCCCGGGATACTGCAAGAGACAAGTTAGCTAAACACTTTGCACTTAGTAAGCTTCCTTAAATCTGTATATATGTAATCAGATTTGTAATGTAAAAAATTGTTGCTTAATTTTTCAAGGTGTCTACATGGACGAAGCAGTACACTGCATCCGCCCATAGAGACATTCCTGCTATGAATGAGCTCTGTGACTGGTTGATGAGAAACGTACCAGATAAAGATGATGAGGTCACACTCGTCCATGGAGACTACCGACTTGACAACTTGATATTCCACCCAACTGAGGCAAGACTTTCTAGAAGGTCGTTATGACCACGGAATGCATTTTTCACCAATTACCTCATGGGTTGTCCTTTTTATGATCAGACTAAGGTGATGGCTTTGTTAGACTGGGAGCTGTCCACTACTGGGAACCCTATAGCTGACCTGGCCTTTTTTATCGTGCCTCTCTACTGCCCCACTGATCTGAACATTAAACGCTTTATATTCAACTACGAAGAAGTAGAAGGTAATGCAAAATTAAATGTTGGTCGTGATTATAATAATTTGCACATTGTTAAAAAAAAAAGTGTGTGTGTGATTATATATATATATATATATATATATATATATATATATATATATATATATATATATATATATATATATATATATATATATATATATATATATATATATATATATACACTTTTCTCTGTGCAGGTATCCCATCGGCTAGTGACCTGATCTCCATTTACTGCCGGTGTCGGGGAATCCCATCTTCTTCCTTGCCTACGCTGAACTTCTACTTGGCTCTGTCTCTGTTTAAAGCGGCTGCAATTTCTCAGGTTTTCCATCACATCCAGCTGTGCAAACACACTTGCCCTTGTGATATGACTAAACCATATCAGTGTATGTTATATGGCCACAAATTTCAATGTGTGTTATTAGTGTAAGAAAAATAAAGAATGAGAAAGGATGAATGACTTTTCAAATTCTCAGAAAACAAAATCTTAAAAGCATGTTTTTCTTTTTTATTCTGCTTTGCTGAATCAATACTACGTGGTACCACTTCACTCTAGATAAAGTTGCAAGGTCTTTTGGGATCTTAGTAGAAACTGAAACTTGTTGCCCATTCTTCTTTGCAAAATAGCTTATTGCCAAACATGAGTGAAACGTTGCCTATGCTCTTGATATGGTGTCTGGTGACACGTATTCAGTTACTTTTCAACAAACTCCCAGAAAATTGTCGACTTTGACATGGAAGTCTGCTGGCACAGAGGTAGATGTGTTGTATTAAGCGTTAAAATAACACCATAAAAGCCCACATGCGAAATAATTTATATTTATGTCCTTGGCAACTACCAGGGCATGGAGAAGTAAATGCACGGTTTACAAGCCTCAACAGGTGTAGCAGTTTCAAAAGGTAGAACGTTTTAAGACGGTTGTCCAGACACATAATGGTAGGAAAATCTGATGAGGTAGCACAGATCGTCACTACACTGTCGATCTTTATCATTTATCCCCCTTTTTGCAGCTTTGCAACGCATTGCATTTGTTTATCATATGGCTATAAACTGCAATGGCAGTATAGGTTAATATTAACCTACTTTTTTTCTTTTCTTTCATCAATCTTACATAATATTCTCTCGACAACAAGCATTAGCTTCTACCCAAATGGCCAAATATATTACACATATGCATCACCTGGTTATGTGACACTTGAAATATAAAATCATACCACATATTGCATCCACGCCAGTCCTTGAGTTACACCCACTTAAATTGTAATGACAGTTGTGAGTCTTTCACTTCAAATGATTATTTTTTTCTGTTTTATTGCAGGGGGTCTATGCTCGTTACCTGCTGGGTAACGCCAGCGCACCCGATGCAGTTCAATTCGGCCAGCATGTCGAGCCTTTGGCTAAAGTCGCATTGCAGTTAGCCAAAAGGTTAGTTCCACCAATGAAATGAAAAATGCACAGAAATCCACTTATTTTAAAAGTTATAATTTAATGTGAGCCCTGCGACGGACTGGCGACATGTTCAAGGTGACCCCACCTCTCGCTCGTTGTCTGCTGGAGATAAACACCAGCACCGCTTGCAATCCAACTTGCAATAAGCGTCCAAGATAATGAATGCATGGATGACTTTAATGTGAACACACCAGTATAATTACAGCCCACCATGGCTGACATCAAAAGGCACATTACCAGAATTTGTTGTTTTTGTAGGTAAGAATACTAATTGAATCCACGAGCTGACTGATCTTAAGCAAGCAGGAATTGGAGCTTGCCAAGTGCATCCTGCCAACCTTTCACATATTTCCGATGTGTTTCCTGCCAGTCCACTTGCAGGTCCAACAAAAGACAGGCTGTTCCCTCAGACTGCCAGAGGCCAGGCTGTTCTCCAGCAGGTTAAAGACTTCATGCAGCAGTATGTGCTTCCTGCTCAGCAGGTCAGTGCCAAGCGCTTCAACTAGGACAGGGGGCATTTTATTTGTTCAGACAGACGCTTAATTTGACGTGGGAAGATTTGACAGACGAATTCATCCATGCCACATGGATTAGTTAATTAAATGGAGAAAACCATAAGTCTGTTGATAGTTTGCTTTTTAATTGCACACAGAGCCCTTGTTGTTCACTGAACATCAAAGAATTTCTACTTACTTGGCTTTCTCGTAAAAGAACTGGGAACCCCAAAACCAACAAATTACAGTTTAAGACTTGAGCAAGTTAACCTTTTGTATTGCATGAGAAGGCTTTTCACTGATGAGGAAAAAATCAGGATGGGATTATTTTTTTCTCATAATGCAATTGTTTATTTCCTCAGGAAGTTGCAGAATACTACACAAAACATTCCCAGTCTCCTCTGAGGTGGCAAGCTCCAAAAATAATAGAGGATCTAAAGGTAGGCTGGAATAATGTACCAACTTTGATTAATTTTGAATTTCAGTCCTTTTTCACCAGGACTTTGTCATGGACTCAGCCTTGGGTCATTCTTTCCATTTAACAGATTTGTAATAAATGTTGTTCTGTGAGTTCAGGAGAAAGCCAAGCAGGCCGGGCTGTGGAACCTGTTCCTGCCGGCGGTCAGTGGACTCACTCAGTTGGATTATGCCTACATTGCAGAAGAAACGGGCCGCTGCCTCTTCGCTCCCGAAGTGTTCAACTGCCAAGCTCCCGGTAAAAAAAAAACAAAGCAGCTAAATAATGTCATAGCATGAGGTGTTTTTGAGATATGGGGCTCATAAATATCACAATCAATTCGCAATTAATTAATTAATTTTTTTCTGAGGTAATGAGTAGTGAGTAGTACAAGAATAAGAGACTTCATAAAATTCACATACACTTTGTATGTGAACATGAACAAATAGTAAAAAGTGCTGTGCATTTATGGTGACTATGTGCTGTGTGAAGTATTTGTGTAGTCTAAGTGCAGCAGTGGTGCAAGAATTCATAGTTGGGCTGTGAGCTACATTCCTGAATTGACAGGAATGTGGGTTGTGAAAGAGGGGGGAGACATGTGGCAAAGGTCAACCGGCCTGGACTCGAACCATGACCATGACGGCCGTGTCCAGGACAGCAGCCTCCACAAACAGGAGGCAAACAGGAGTGCCTATGCACTATGCATAGGCATAGTGCCTATACACTATGCATGTGCCACTGCCACAGGCGTAGGCCAACAGACATGTGGCAAAGATCAACAGGCCTGGACTCGAACCATGACCATGACGGCCGTGTCCAGGACAGCAGCCTCCACAAACGGCTCTCACACTCTATGCACTGTGCCCACAGACATGTTATTCACTTACACCCTTTGTGGCCTCTTTGTCAGAAAGTCCATAATCCACAGAACTAAGCTGTTTTTTAGATTAATTGAAGGGAGCTTTTCTGCCAAGATGTGAGGCTGCCTAGTATTGAATCGAGGGAAACAAAATCAGCAAGACGAAACCTGGCTGTTGTGTTGGGAGTTCTCAAATATTTTTGTGTCATCAACTCCTCTTTAAGCCTGATATGTGAGCTGGGAACTGGGAGTTTTTCTCATCCTCTCCAGAGCAAAGATGGAAGTTTTTCTCATCCTCTCCAGAGCCTGTATATTAACACAACCACAGCACCTGTCTTTGGCATCCCATTACTTCTCCCACAACAGGGATAAAATCCACCATAATTTGCATAACATAGATCATTTTGTTTTGTAGGGCAAAACATCCATTTTGGTCTTACCTAATCCTGAGCACCTGCTTCCATGTGTTTCCTCTCCATGGCTTATAGTAAACTACAAATGGAACTTTCTTCTTCCTGCCACAAGGCCAGATTTGTGAACTGCAACACTAATATTTACAGAATCCCCCACCAGACCTGTGGATCTCCTCCAGACTCCATGGGTCTCTTGGCTGCTTCTCTCATGAATGTTACTCTTTGACTGACTTGTTTTTGTGGAGAGCCATGTTTTGGTAGGTTTCCAGTTATGCTAACCTACCAAGACATAGGAATAATTTTATTTCAGTCTCTTGGCTTAGTTTATTAAGAAATATTCCTGATTAAAGAACTCCAACAGAATGGGTGTGTAGAACAAGCTTGTATAGAAATTCCACTAATGATGTTTTTCCACAGACACAGGAAACATGGAGGTGCTCCATATGTTTGGCACCGAGGAGCAGAAGAAGAAATGGCTGGAGCCTCTACTGAGCGGAGAAATCCGCTCCTGCTTCTGTATGACAGGTATCGACATGATCAAGTATTTATCGACAACCATGCTGAAACAAAAAAGAAATAGCCTTGAAATATATATTTTTTTCTTTTATTGCAAAATTTAACCTAATAAAAATGTAGAAAACTTTTAAATTTAGTTCATTTATGCAGTGGGGAAAAATCTGAGGTTAAGAAATAATTTATTCTAATTTGAACTCACTTTATTAACACTTTATTAATGATATGCTTTTAAAGTGAAGTAAAATGAAAAGCTACAATTTAAACATACAGTCTAAGTTATTCAGTATTGAGTTAAATTTGATTAGGTTTCTAAATATTTTTTTGCAAATGCAGTCAATCTGAGGGATGGAGAAACATGAAGAGTACATTTTCCATTAGAGTGTCTTGATCTTTTTGTTTTTTGTGGCTTTGACCATCTGTTAACAGTAAAAGTCGAACCTTCTGGGATTAATCATCAACACTAAAGCTTCTCCTCGGTTTATGTGGTTTTTTGCAGCAACAGTTTCCACTGCCTGAATATTTAGACTCAGCCACCGTTTATTTCCATCAATGGAAACTGGGAGGTTTATTTTAGTGCTCCCTGTTTTACTGGCTAATTGTTGAAATCAAAATTCTCCAAATTTGATCTAGAGGTACATAAAATAGATTCACAATTCATGGTAGATATTTAGAACAGAGGGACTGACAGTAAAAATGTAAGTATTTAGAAATTGGTTTGCATTTTAAACTCGTGGACATAATATTCCCAGAAGACTTTATCTCTTTGTCTTTGGACCCAACCTCTCTCCTGACATCTTTAAACACAGTTCCAGATCTGTCCCAGCAATCGTCTTCTCCTTGTTCCTGGCCTTTCCCCAAACGTTAGAGGTTAAGTCACACACTTTTGATCTTGGTCGTGAAGATTTCAAATGTAACATAACAGTAGAGAATCAAGTGTTTGGGTAGGTCACTGTGTGTGCAGTGACCTATTCAAACTTTCCTCTAAATGGAAACCAAAGAGTTTATGAACTGCTCTTTGTGTTTTGATTCAGGAATTTTTCCTTTTCATCCTGAAGGATCACACTTCAGTTATTTTCCCCTTCTTTTCATTTCTCTCTTGCAAACTCATTCACTCACTGTTCTTCACTTTTTGTCACTTTGCAGCCATAAATGTAAATGTATATTAAGATTTTATGTGATACATCATCAGAAGAATAAATTATGCAAATAAAAATCTAAAAAGTTAAATTTTTATTTAGTTTGCTAATAAGAATCTATGAGTCCAAGCAAACCCTTCTTTGTTTGGATGCTTTGAAGTAAAATCCACCTGAATATAATCTAATCTCGACGTAAATCCAGGTGTTTTGTGAAAACCTTCAAGGTTTGTTAGAGAACAAACAACATTGTGAAAACTGACGCACGCAGTGTTGTTTCCAGTCTTTGAACATCTTATAGAGCACCGTTCCTGTTAGGATTATAGCTGCAGTTACCATGAATAACACATAATGGAGTTTATGGCTCAAACATGAAAAATCTGAAAGGCTTTGAGGGATCTGAATAACCCGTTCTTTGTAAAGCAAGGCATGAACACGAATGTTCACAGCTCAACTCATAAAGAGAGTGAAAGTTGAAACTTCTGATCTACTCCTAGAAAATCCTTCCGCTTCTTTCCACTGGATTCGTGTGAACGGTTGTGGTCTGCAGTGAGGTTAGACTACTCTTGGCTACTACAAGCACTGTAAATCTCCCGTTTCAAAACATCACCTGCCAGTAGCAACAAATACTGAATGATTTCTATCCATGTACTTCCCACGCTGCCTGGAAATGACGACATGCCACTGCGAGAGGTGATTAGAGAGAATGTGAACATCCCTGTGGTTTTTCTAAACACAATTGTTTTTTTTTTGTTTGTTTTTTTGTTGTTGTTTGTTTATTTATTTTCTTATGGGGGGAAGTTAACAGTTATTTCTTTTACCAGATGATGTGGGAACATGAATCCCTCTTTTGCTGGACAATCGTTTACATTTTGGAGTTGAGCATTCTGTTTTATTTATATTAATTACTGACTGTGGCCTGTGCTGGAATCTGAGCTTAAAACAAAGACACGGGAAAATTCTGGAAGTCTCATTGACTCATTTTCTCCTAAACTCTTACCACCAGAGCCTGACGTTGCTTCCAGCGACGCAGCAAACATGGAGTGCAGACTTCACAGAGACAAAAACACCTACATCATAAACGGCAAAAAGTGGTGGAGCAGTGGTGAGTACGTCAAATGTTATTTGATCCTCTATAAAAGGTTTCTATCCCGTTAGGGAATCAAAATGCACTCAGAGCAGATTTAAACTTAATAAACACAGAACAAGTAGTTTTATTTGGAATAACAGAGCTCGTTTAAGAGCGTTTTATAAATGGAACAGACTCATAAAACAAGAGAACGATTTTGGAAGTATAAACCTGAAAATTTTATTGTCCACCCGAAGGTTTGTCTCTCAGAGAGAACAAGCTGTTGATGTAAACAAGATGCTATCCATGCTTTTTAAGCAGAGCCTTAAAGAGATGCATATGAGCTCAAAGTGCTTTCATATGAACAATAAAACTGTACAGATGACTCATGCAATGCCTATTATATAACATAACTACTTTTTTTAATGAGCTCAGAAGTGTCGAATGTGTGTTTTTGGGGTTTTTTTTTTGTGAAAAATAGGCTTTTAGTTTGCTAGAAGATAAACATGGTAAAAGGTCAGCTTTGTGAAGAATCTCTCCATGTGAATCCAGGAAAATAAGTGTTACCTCTTATGTGAGTCATCCAAAAGCTGTGACGTTGGTTAAAAGAAAACAGAAGGCAACACGTTTAATCAGTAAATGTTGAAAGGCTCAAAAGCACTGCCTCCATTAAATTTGTCATTTCATTTTTATTCGTATGATTATTTTTTCACCAGTTGGTTTTTAATTGGCTTTAAAAAACAAAATTGTAAATATTTCCTGAATTAAAAAAGTCCTCAACAGGATGATGTCACACAAGGCAAAACCCAACTATTCATTTGAGAACATTTTCTTAAGGGGGGAATTGTTTTCGTAAAACAAAGTAAAATACATTTAGCAGCACCTGTAACATTTAAACCTAAAGTATTTTTATAATACCGACCTTAACACACTCCAGCAGGCTTTAATCTTCTTCCCAACCTAAGCCAGGTGCAGCAACTTTCACATATTGTGACAGCTGTGGTAAATAAAGGCCTGATGATGCAATAAAAACTTGTTTTTATTGCATCAGCAGAAACCCAGCACAAAACAAGAGAAAAATATAACCCTTAAATTAATAATGTGTTTATCACAGAGGGAAAGAAATCCCATGTTAAATAACACATTTTTAATCCACAGTTATTGGTGAGATTAATATGTTTTACTTTATTTAGTATTCAGGAACTTTTAATTAAACATCCATGACCGTCTGTTTCCCTGAAACGTGAATATGATGTGACACTTTTCAAAATGGGAAAGAGACTAGAACATACCTTTCCAGTGCTGCAGAATGTGATAAGTTTAATGAAAGATACAATAAATCTAATCTGACCATTTTTAATTTTCTTTGTTGTTTGGTTGCACTATTAAGGCTGATGATGTATGTCCATTTCCGGCAAGAATGTTAGCAGTCTTTAGAAATGTTTTGGCTTTTCTAAAGCTCAGTACCACCTGGACAGACTTATTGCCGGTAGCATAGAATTTCTTTGATTTTTTTGATTTTTTCCTTAAGCAATCTTGAGATTTGCATTTGGTCCAAATACAAACAAGTTCTTATACTGTCACAATTCAGCATGTAAATTTAAACAAAAAAAGTTAGAAGTTCAGTAAAATTGCAGCATCTCTTCTGGGTGGGTTGTGTGTTTGTGACACAGACTGTCAGCAACTCCTGAAGAAATATTTCTTCATAAAAAATGTAGTGACACATTGGTAACTGAAATAGTGACATTTGTAAACGTTGCTAGCACCAAACAGCCTCATGGGTGCTTCAGAAGGCAGACATATGGGAGCTTGGGTTTAATATTCAGTAGTGTTACAACTCCTTGTCATGTTATTTCCCCAATTGTAAAATCATCACCTGTGCAGATGTATCTGTGTTTCTTTTTCTACAATGAAACTGTAGCTACTGTCTCACAAAAATTGACAAGCTCAACTTTTCTAACTGCTTTCTTATTTCTGTAAAACACTTCACCTTGTTTTTGGTATGAAAAGTTATTTTATTTTATTTTATTTTACATTATTAGCACATTTTTACTTCATAGTGCTAGTATAAATAATTTTACTTTTGGAAAAGAAGCTGCAGCTAACTGAGAAAGTCAGACACAGTAGAATTACTCCTGGAAGTGTTTTCCTGGCTCCTTGCATTCCAGTAAAGCCGATGTGTGTTTTAATCCATATGTCAGGAAATTGCTGCCAGAAAACAACAACTGGCTCAAACTTGCCGGCAATTAAAGTTTTAAAACAACTGGAAGTTTGGCTAATAAGGCCGGATGAGAATCCAGGTTGATGTTGCCACCACACACGACGAGGAGGACGGTATAAATAATTTTAAAAAAAATCTACAAAGCTCACTGTTTCACAGCAAAGACTGGCATTTCTTTGTTTGTTGTGTAAACAACCATACCTGGGTGTGTCCCTTGTTATGGGAAGCTTGCCAGAAAAATTCTTCTCTGTCCTTCCTTCACCTTCACTAATGCAAATGTGGAGTTTGCAAAAAATATTTTGGCTTTTAAAACCCAAATACTACAGATATTATACAATTAATATTATTTTGAATCATATTCCCCTATTTATTTATTTTTTCTGATATGTCTGACCTGAACGTTTGCCTCTGACTGTCATGGAAAAGCTGGCTGTTGAATTGCACGTGAATTCTTCTCTCCCCCAAACTTCTTTCTTCTTGCCATCAATCCACAGTTTATAGTTCAAGCCTGTTACATATCTGCATTGACATTCTTCCTGCTCAACCTTTCTCCTTTTCTTGGATGTAAAATGTCCTGCAATGGAAAGAATTTTGTGATGTGACAAAGATCCTCTGCCAGCATTAATATATCTTCCTGTTAGCAGAAAGAATGTGGGTGTGCTGATGGACGGGTTGTTGCACTGAAGCATGTGATTAAAAAACAAACAAAAAAAAAACAAAACGTTTTTTTTGTTTATATCCCTATGAGTCATAATATCCCAACTCGATCTGTTTGACTTCACTGAGTAGGAAACAAGACAAGTGAAACTTGACATGGCTGTTATAATTCCAAGGTAGTGTAGCTGTGGTCGACTCATTGTTTCCAGTAATCGATGCTGGTTCCTCAGCGACGTGGTCCGGGTGTGTCCCAGAGAATCTACTAGTGGGGGATTCTTTGGTTTGGTTTTGCAGTCTATTTTTTCATTATGAAACAAAAAGTAACTTCCTTTACCAAAGTTTCATGGTCAGAAAAAACTATTTAGTTTCTGTTTTAAAAGCACAGCTACTTGCCATAGCTATACACTCCCAGACTTAAACCTATTAGAGTTCCTCCAAACCTTAAGCATCACATAAAGGTGCAGTTTTCACCTTCATCATTTCCCCCTGAAGCTGTTAGACGTGGTTTCTAAATGAAAGGGTGAACAGAGGTTGGTGGTGAACTCTGTGGTGTGGAAGCTGTATAATTCTGTCCCATGAGCATGATAATGCACTCAAATTACTCCCAGGCTTGCTATCTGTTATTTTCATGCTCTAGGGGTGGGAGAGCACCGTTACACAAGCAAAACATCAAAAAACTTTGCAAACCGCATATTTTTCTAGATATGTTTTTTTTTTTTTTTTTATCTCTTTCAAACTTTCATTTTTTGGAGGACTGAGGTAAAACACTCGCCAGAAGAGAAGGGCCATGCATTCCATATGTGGTGCGATTCTTAAAGTTAATCTAAATTTTCCCTCAAAGTCCTTTATTTTATCTTTACTGTCACTTTAATTTAAATCTTAAACCTCTAAAGTGAGGGAAAAAAATCTCAGTTTTAGTTTGTATTTTATGAGGATTTTATGTTGTAGATCAGTACACAATAGTGAACAAAAATACAGAGTAGTTTTCTACCTTTTTATAATAAACAAAAATATCTGAAAAATGTGGCATGCTTTTGGTTTTGCCCCCCCTGTTTGAATACTTTGTTTGCTTAAATTAAGTCTTTGTAAAATTGCTATAGCATAGTGAGAGTGGATGGAGAGCACCTGTGAACATCAGTTTCAAATCTTGTGGCACATTTTCGTTTAGATTTGAGTGTAGGCCTTGTGAACACTTCTGTTTAAACAGCAGGATTGTGGTTCTGACTGGATGTGTCAGGCGGTTCTGCGGTGTGCAAATAGAGTCTCACTTCTTTTTGCAGTTTCTAGCAGGTCTTTTTCCAGTATCGTCCACAGTTCATCCTGCTACATACTCTTCCCAGCTTTGTGACCCTGCTGAGGAATAACACCAGAACAGCGTAACAGTTTGGACCTTGCATGCAGAACAGTGTTCCGCATGCTATCTGATGTTCCTCCACATGTTTTGCTAGGTTTCCTACATAATTCAGATGAACTCCAAAACAGAACGTTTTGTGGCTTTCCATGACCAGAGGCTTTTTTCTGCCTGAGCTGTTGATGCCTGTTGCCAAGAGTTACCTGAGGCTTCTTGTCATCTTCTCTGAATAATGCTCTGCTTTGTCCCAGACAGTCCCTTTCTAGATAGGTTTGCAGTTGTGCTGCAGTTGCTTTTCATTTTTGAAATGATGGACTGAACTTTTTTACCTGTTTAAAATTAGGGATACAAACCAGCTTCCTTTCTGACCGGTCTGCTGTATGCTCCTCATGATACTATTTGTTGTTTAATGTTCGCTAAGAAACCTTTGAGGCTTACTCTGAGATTGAGCCGCATACAGGTTGACTGTATTTATTAATTAGGTGACGCCTGAAAGCGGCACAGGATTTTGGAGAGAGGTTGCTATGTTTTTCTGATTTTCATTTGTAAAAAAAAAAAATTATATATTTTTTTAAATTAATGTTTTTCTCCCCTTGCACTAATCTGCATCACTTTGTGGTTGCAGTGGACAATTTGTGGAGGTGATAATACTTTTGCAAGGTCCCATACCTTGTCTTCACATGGTTTTCTACTACAGATTTTGTTTTATAAATTTGTACACTGCTGAGGTTTGGCAAAAACACATTTAGAGGCTAGACATGTGTCTTTGATACAAGAACCAATGTTCTTTAATGGTTTAGAGAGGCTGACTCAGGTGGGCTGATGGCTACTAAACACGCCAAAGTAAACAGATTATTTCGTGTCTGTCTGAGGTATCTGAGGTGGATTTCAAGACCAGGCTTTGCCAAGATAAACTCAACCTTCTTTGTTGTCGAGCAAAGAGGCTTAAACAAACTATTAAACATTGGACTCTGGCCACCCAGTATTCTGAGCCAAGATTTGACGTTTATCAGGGTCGGTCTGGCATTATCGTGCATAGTGGCATCGTAAAAAAAAATAAAAGAAAAAAGCGAGATCTAGTGGGAGGTTCTTCTCCACTGCAAATCATTTGCTCTTTAAACTTTATTTTATTGAAATAAACAAATATAAGTGGATGAAAAACAGCGGTTAGGCTTTAAGCTCCTCTAAGGAACATGCGACTTTGCTGTTTACTACTCTAATGGCATGGAAGGATCCTTCCTGCTGCGAGCTCTCCTGTCTTTGCTTGCCAAATGTTTTTCGACTCAATGGGTCACCCACTGTGCAACCGAGCCATCCGTCATCCCAACCCAAAGCCGCAGGATGTGATGAAATGCGATGCAGATGAGATTTTGGAAGACAAGGCTGATTGTAAAGTTGGATTGGAGTTGCTCTGAATTGTTCCCCTGAGCAACTTGTGATTCAGCTGCATTTAATTGAAACAGATGCATGTCGCTGAAGGCTTTGTTCTTTTATTTAAGAAAATACATATTTTTTACAAAACACTTAGCTTAATGCATATAACGTTATATTACATATCTTTTTAGCCGTTAAGTTATGTGCGGCTACTCCTGTCTAGCTTGTATGACGACTAATGCATGTAAATATATATATCAAGTAAATAGGCATATAGTATCAGAGAATTTTAGGTGTGCCTGTGGTAAATATCTGCAAAAAGCCTTCTACAAATTCCACTTTTATTACAGTAGGAAAATCACATACTGTAAAATTAAGAAGAGGGTTTCTGCAAGACTTTGAAAACACTTTAATATGATAATATTAGTCTTGAAGAAGTCATTAGCAATGTCTTGAGAGTGACTCAGTAGTTAATGTACTGCCTTACAATCAGAAAATTGTGGGTTAGATTCCAGTTTCCTCCTGCCTCTTATTGATGTGCCCCAGGGCGACACACATTATTCTAAGTGATTTGCTTATCTGTAAATAAATACGTCAGTGTTTGTGACTGAAGGTTATTGAATAAAAAGTATGTTAATTCAGGTTGTTTAACTTTTTATATTTAAATAATTTGGATAAAAAATAATTGTTATAAAAATGTAAAACCAATTAATTTTTGAAATTAGAGTATTTCATTCCCAACCCTCACATTATGTGCGAGAGCACTTGTTGCATGCCAAAAAATAAAAAAATAAAACTAAAATTAAGTCCTAATGATCTTAAACATGTTAAGTTTTATAAGAAAAATTGATCTTTTAGTTCAATTAAATTACAGTCATCCATTAAGTCTCAATAACCTACCATTAAAATGGTAAATGTGTAGTTTGGACAACTTTGCTTTAATTAGAATTGTGTACTACCTCTGTGAAAATGTCATAGTATGAGTCCTGTTTTTGGGCTATGATAGTTAGTGCAAATAGTTTACGGGTTATCAATTATTGTTCCATAAATATTTCTTAGCAAGAGATTTTTTTACTCAACTTCTTTTAGTTTGAAAATATGCTACTGCAATAAAAATGAATTTAATTTTAGGCTTTTAACACATATTTACCAAGAATACCAGTAAAGATGTCTAACACTGTACATGCTAAAGTCTCAGATAGTGAATGTGCTGGTGTCCTGGTCCTCCGAACCAGACTGAGACTGGTTCTGGCTCGCTGAGTGGAGTGCGATCTCCACCGCTGGCTCCTCATTGACTTGCCTTGAGTGTCTTCCAAGTCTCTGTCCAAGGTGCTTGGCAGCCTTCAGGACATGACCTCTGAAGGAAGAGCCGATGAAGGCATAGAGGACGGGATTGATGCAGGCGTGGGTGAGCGCCAGGCTCTCTGTCACCTGCCGAGCGTGGTCCAAGCGCTTGCTCATTTCGCAGTCCGTGATCAGATGGTAGATGATGTCCATCGCTCGACATAGCTTTACTACGTTGTAGGGCAGCTGGGTGAGCAGGAACACGGCCACGACAGCAAGGAGGACCCGAAGTGTGCGCCATTTCCGTTCTCTGCGCACCCCAGCAGCTTTAGTTAGCGCCCGGCCTATGCATGAGTAGCATGCCACCATGACCAGGAAGGGAACAAGAAAGCGGAGGATGACCTCCAGCAGCTCCAGGGCAGCTTTCGCAGGTTGGGCCATATTGGTTGGGTAGACGGCTGTGCAGCTGGTCCTGTGATGGGAAGTCTTCACCGTGGAGAAGATGAGTTCAGGAAGGCCAAAAAAGCTGGCTAAAGCCCACAGTGCCGCACACACCAGAATCCACTGCCTCCTGACTCGGGTACCCGTCCCAGTTCTGCCTGCTGAGTTTTGGGCCACCGCCCGATAGCGATCCACACTGATGCATGCCAGCAGTAGCATGCCACAACTGAAGTTGGTGCTATAGAGGAAGGAGTTGAGTTTGCAGCCAGCCACGCCCAGCTTCCAGCCATGGACGGCGTCGGCGGCCCAGAACGGCAGGGTGAAGAGCAGCAGCAGGTCTGAGATGGCCAAGTTGAGGATGCACATGTCGGTCAAGGTCCGGAGTCTCAACTTGGACGTGTAGACCACCACCACCAAGGCATTCCCAGCCAGGCCTACCACCAGAGCCAGGGCGTAGATGATTGGGAGGAAGACGCTGCCAAAAGAACGCACCGATTCTTTCTCACAGACGCTGTGTTCATAGTCGTATTCATAAGAATCGTTGAAACTGATGTCTGTATCATCACTGGTGTAGAAGTCTTCCATGTTTCCTGCACATGAAAAGAGCAGAATATAAAGATGTTCCTTAAACTTTCTCTCATTTTGTCACAGTTGATGGAAAAGCCTATAGACTTAAATACACGGCAATGCTAGATAAAACAAAATGTATGACAATAACCCTAAGCACACAACAAGAGCTACTATAAAATGGTTTAGATTAAAGCATATTAATCTGTGAAAGGCTCTGTCAAAATTTTTATTATTAATTAGGCTGCTGTACTGGATTTTATTTACAAGTATCGGGGGGGAAAGAAATGCTCACAACACTTCTCAGAAATCTAATTACCAAAAAGGGAATTGAAGAAACCTTGCATCATTTTCCTTCCACTTCAAAATTAGGCGCTATTTAGTGTTGGTGTGTTACATAAAAGTCTGAATAAAATACAAGGAAGTTGATGGGGGGGAAAAAACTTGAATACGTTATAGGAAGATGAATACTTTTGCAAGGCATTCTAAGCGGTGAAACAGGAAATAGGAATTTTGTTCGGGTTCAAAGGAATCTTCCCTGCTTTTTCCTAAACTAGCCTGTCAGGAATGTGTGTGGGCTTCAAGAACAACAGTGAATGGATCTCTGCAAAGGCGATGAAAGAAAACAACCGAAGAGCTTTGGAGTTTACTTAATTTGCATGCAGCAAGCGATGCCAGATGATCCGCAAACTTCAGGAATCGGCGGCTTCTGATTTATTGAAGAAAGTATAATCTGTCTATTGACTTTTCCTTGTACAACCTGTTGTGCAAGCTGATAACATCTACTGTAGGGTATTTAAGATGGCATGTTTATATCAGTTAACCGTGTCGCTTTTTTTCCCACATCAGTGTAATAATGGTTGCAGGGGCAATCCAAAACTGACAGGAAATGAGTGCAATAAGGGATTAACTTTTTTCAAACCCAGGATCCTGGTTCTGTTGCACAGCTTCAACAGGACATCCCATTATGTGAGACTTTTTGGATATATTGGTTATGATGTCAATGCTCATTTCCTGACACCTCACTGCACATGTAGAGGACAATGCATCCGGACAGTCTTACTGCCTCATACAGCAAAGTTTTTGTTAACCTTATGAGATTGTCATCATTTTTAATAAGCTGAGTTCTGAGATCATTTTTAAATAAGCTGTTGATTTCCTAAAAAAAAAACCCAAATCATTTAAGTCTCTTCTCCTTCTACTACTTGCTGATCAAAGATCTAAATCAAAGATGGCTATATGAAGTTTTTATGGAGAACATAGTCTTTCTTTTAAAACATTGACTGCACATAATTAATTCATCAATTTTAGAACAGTGTCCTGCAGCCACAAATGACTGATGCTAAATTTATTTTTAACAAAAAAAAAAAAAACTGTGAGGCAAATATGTATCAGTTATGACACCCAGTATATATGTTGTTTTAAGTGTATGTCTGCTTGTTTTGAAGCCGTCATACAATCCACATCCTTTTGTTGGGAAATATGAACTATATAGGACCATAGATACCGTATGTGTCAATTATAATACAGAAATTTGAGAAATCCATGATATTTATGAACAACATATTTTTATTACTGACAATCATTTCTTGAATGAGGATTTAGGTGCAAAAGAGAATCATTTATATGGCGGATTGTGTTCATCTAATTTGATTCAGGCAAAGTGGAGTTTGATTACCTGTCCACCCCAAAGGCAAAGCCTGTTAAGAGACTGATGACATAATTCCTGAGGGAAAATGGGCATTTTGCAGGAACTTCATTTTGGCTGAGTGCATTTGTCGCTGAGATAACGGGAGTCTTGTTCCTTTCGAGTGTCCAGTTCTGTTACATAATGAAGTTCGATGTTCCGAATGGGAGGAGTAGCAGTGAATGTAGCAGATGTTCTTGGAAAAACAGAAAAAAATGCCATGCATACACCACTGTCAACAGCTGCGTGTCACTTAATAACAAGTTCAAACTTGCTGCCATTCTTTCAAAGTGCTTGTTTTAGACTTTACAAGCCAATTACAGAACAATTGTGAAATGTTTCAAAGGTGTCAAAAAAGGAACTGTCAGAAAGGTTTACGCTTTTAATTTCACATTAAAATTATGTTTTACTTTACCTATAATACATAGATACTCCTGGTATTGGTTAGTTTATTAAGTAATGCAATACCTTTTTTTTCCTTTTTTTTTTTTCTTTACCTTTGTTAAACCTTTTTCTTATTTTATTCTAGCTGTCTTAATTAAATCGTACTTTATATGTCCTGTTGCTGATGCTTTGGTGTGAAGTTGTGGCATCAACATTCTGATTTGATTTTGCCCTGAACATGTTTCTTGCAAATGCAAAAACACTGGGACTTCTCACTATGGCTGCATTTGTGAGGTAATGATACCAACGCAAACGTATCATGACTTCATTCTAAGTTTAATAATGTCATAAAATCTTCGAAGCCGGACTTTGACTTTAAGCCCAATTGTAAATCAAAGTCTTTCCTCTTTGAATGAAAACAAGATTAATTTCTGTACTAAACAGTGTCTCAGGAACATAAGAATGGATTTAGAATTCAGAACTAACAAAATAAACTTGCATAACCGAGCTTTTATACTATTACTCTACCAGCTTAGCGTTAAATGGGTCGAATCAGAAAATGTCTTACCTGTTGTCAGCAGTTTTTTTTTTTTTCTTAGAGCGGTAAGGATTAGAAAAACCTCTTGTGAGCCCTGCTCAAACTGTGACAGAGTCCAGAGGAGGTGCGTTATTGTATTCTCCAGGACTGAAATGACTAATCTCTGCTGCTCAGCCTGCCCTCCTCCCTGCCTGACAGCACGAGGAGCGTGTCCCTTCTCCACGTAGCTCTGAATACATTGTGTGTGTGTGTGTGTGTGTGTGTGTGTGCGCGCGTGAGTGTCTGAGTTTGGGTCATTTCCTGAATGCATAGTTTGGATGACTCAGAATCCCTTAGTTTTTGTTTGTTGGGCCAGGCAAAGCACTATGCACGGATATTAATAGAGTTTATATAAAAAGAATGGAAAATCTCTTGTTTTTCATTCTTTTTAGATGAACTCTGTTTTTTGTCATTTAGAGCAGCGAGTGCCAGTAGGAGTTTTGCTGTGTTTGGGAAGGTTTGAAGTAATGTGTGATAAATCCTTTCCTATTCTAAAAAACCTATTTATATTAGTTACATTTTTTGTCTTATTCATTATCATTTGTTTTGTGGGTTATGTATTAGCGGTTGACAGTAGGATGGGTGTGGTTGCTGTGCAATGTCACCAGTAGATTTGTTCTATGTAGGGTTAAATTACTTGTGTTGCACAGTTTTCTTTATTGATTTAAGGCATGATGGATCATATCTGGTTCAGGCAGACAACACACAATGAACAATTGCTAGATAGGAATTTTTATGACTAGGAATGAATGTATTATTAAATGTGACTAAAACGTATTTTAGAGAGTTGTTGATTTGTCAGGAGTCTAAAGGAGGTTTTTTGTTGAAAGTTTCAGAAAAATAAGAGGCATGCAAGAGAGGAAGAGTAATTTCAACATAGTATACATCATTGTAATGTCAATAGCTGCTTTGCAAACAAAAGAACTGCTTGGATGCTATGTTTCATTGAATGTCAGTTGTCTTGTATTCACACTTTTTTTGTCAAAATATATTTAGCCAGTTAAACAGACTCAATATACCACATATATCTGTTTTTGTGGCCGAGGTGCTAAATCTCCAAGAAAATGGCCGGATGAATGTAGGAAAATGTTGGTTTGTCATAGCTGATATTGCCATCAACATATTCTGCAATATTATCAGAAATGATTGCCTTCCTGATATTGTCCAGCCTTGATTCAAGTGGCTGTCTCATCCTTGTGGGTTTAAGGGTTGTTACAGCCCAGCAATTAAGTTATGAATGACCAGGATGAAAGCAGTTACATATGTGAAAGATCCGATCTTATGTATTTATATGCATTACACTATTACTGGCAAATCTGTTTCAGACCCAACACTGTGCCAATGTTGTTTTTTTCCAACTGCGTTCTCAGAAATTCCAGATAGTTTTTTTAATATCCTTCAGTGCCACATTCCTCGTCTTTCCCTGGACTCATGTTTGTACACTTATACACAGTGCAGACAAACCCAACTTGTGTGGGATCAGAAATGAAATAAATTATATAAATATGAGGAAAAAAAAAACAAAAAAGAAAAACAAAAAAATTTCATTTTGAAGGATGATTTAGTGACTTAAATAAAAAAAGAGTAATATGACATGTTTGGGTGTCAATGCGGGAGTCTGGAATGTCTGTTTTCATTCCAGTGTGGATGCGACTTGTTTGGGCATGATCACCTTAGATCATGGTCCATGTGACTTATGCAAGAGTTCAATGACAAAGTTGAACCTGCCCTCGGGCCAAACAGGCTTTCCAAGATCAGTTTTGTATTTTTTAGTTGTTTTGTTTTTACTGGGTGGAGCTGCTTGCATCTTTTGCGTTTGTGGTTACAAGGCTGGTATGATCAGTTATTTTGACTTCTCTACAGTTTGTTTAGTAATTAACTACACATCTGTCACACCGAATTGGTTGAAAGACTTCACATGCAGTCATGCTGAGATTACCATGCTATGATTTCCATAAAACACTCACGTCTTCTTGTCTGTTCCAGTCTGGAGACCATATGTCTTGTCCTTAGGGGACAGTTTTTCCAGCTGGGCAACGTTTAAACAGGAAGTCAGGCCACCAATCCTCACCATGTGTACATTGGGCCTCATAGGCGTGACCTGAAATGGACCAAGGAAATTCCAAAGTAATCTGTATTTTTTACCAATCAGCAGTTTGGAGTCACGCCTCTGAAGCTGTAAAATGCTACAAAAGGCAAAATGTTTTTGGTAAACATGGCAACGAGACAGAAAAACCAAAAGGAGGGCAGTTTTTCAAAGCTTACAGTGAACAAAGTAAAGAAATCCTTCCACATTTTGGAGACAGTAACAATAACAGCGCGGGGATCAAACATCAAAACAGGAAATGCCTAAAAATCAAAAGTGCCTCAGATAAAATACTGTCTTTTTATTTTTGAAGTATAAATTTCTCACCCTTTCTGGAATACTGCATTTTTTTTGATCATATCACTTTTTGTCAAATTACAACTCCAAACTTCAATGTACTTTATGGTATGATTTATGAACAGAATCTGAAAAGTGTAGTGCACTTCTGTATTCATGGATCAATGAATTAGTGAACTTTTCACTGCATTTGAAGTGAAAGGTTTTTTTTTGTAGCTCATTTAGAGGTTAATATTTCTATTTTTCAGAATGAAGATATCTAAAGGCAATTGTTTGGGGTGGGTTTTATTTTAGGGGTATCAGGGGTTAAATACATAGGCATGCCGCACTTTTCATATCAAGAAATCTTTCAAATGTCCACTGAGGTCATTCATGTCTCTATGCTCACTGTTTTCAGTTTGTGACATGCTGAAGATTCCTTTACAGAATCTTAAAATTCAGCGTAGAATAGTGCCCTCTAGTGGCAGTATTGAAATGCAATTTAAGGGGGGAATTTGTGTGTCAAGAAAAGAACATTTTTTGTTTACGTTCAAACAAAAGTGGTCTGTTTCCAATGACAAGCTGAAACCCTAAAAGAATCCAACTGCGGAAATGTAAATCAACCTGTGGCTTTTCCCGCTTTGGGGCCGTTAATCTCTCTCGAGGCTCCATCCAGCACTTCCCAGGGAACAACAGCAACTGTTTTCCGGGCATATTCAGGTCATGAATTGGTCAAGGTCATGGAGCGTGGATGGTTCAACTCGTCTTTTTTTTTTTTTTTATAGTCCACCGCAATGACGCAACTAGACATGCATCCATATCTAAAGTCAGTGTTTTTGTGTTCTGTGTTTTCAGGTGCGGGCAGTGCCAGATGTAAAGTGGCCATTGTTATGTGCAGGAGCAGCTCTGAGCTGGGCCAGAGCAGGTCAGCTGGGTTTTCAGATGTTTTTAGTGATTTGTTTGCTTCTGCTACATATTTTATAAATTTTTTATTTTTGCACAAATTATCAGATTTTATTTAATTCATATTTTTCTATTTGTTTTCAAATGGTTTTAGCTTATTGTGTTTATTTTTTGTTTATTGTGTGTATTTTTTCGCTATAGAGCCCAAAACCTCACATTTTCAGCCCACCATGTGAGGTTTTAGGTTACAATTAAAATGAGTTTTCCCTGATTGAAGTTTACTTAAGTGCATTTACTTTTAAACATTAATATTCAGTGTTTATCAGCATATTTATATTGCATAAAGACATAATCTAAAAAAAAAAAACACACTCAGATCTTGTCTCTACAAGTATTAATGGTAACAAAATCTACTAACAGTCACACCCTCGATATGAAACATGTTGTCCTTGTTTCCAACTTCAAGCGTAAAATTCCAACACACTCAACATGTTTTGGCAGAGAATATATGACACATTGCCACAAACAGAAACAGCTGTAAAATTGATTAAATGTTAGTAAAAAAAAATTTGATTAGTTTTGGATAAGTTTCACTATTTAAGGGCGTTGTTTGAACTTCTTTCTCAGGCATGGCCAGCACAGCATGATCCTCGTACCTATGAACACGCCGGGCGTAAAGCTCATCCGACCACTCACTGTGTTCGGACATGACGGTTGGATCGTCTCTCAGTTTCCCCTATTTGAAAGTTGAACCGATGTGGTGTGGTTTACAGATTCTCCGTGTTTCTTTTCAGATGCCATCCATGGTGGCCACTTTGAGGTCCACTTTGAGAACGTGCAGGTTCCAGCTTCCAACATGATCCTGGGTAAAAAGCTCTCCTGGTCTTAAATAGGAGGGACACCTTTTGAAGCCTGAGAAACTGATTTGTTTTATGGAAGAGAGGAACACTTTTCATAGTAAGTGAATTTATTATCATCTTGGCCTAATAACCTTCCCCCACTCATATATTTTCCTCAAGGCGAAGGCCGAGGGTTTGAGATCGCTCAGAGGCGTCTGGGTCCAGGCAGGCTTCACCACTGCATGAGAGCTGTTGGCTGCGCCGAGCTGGCGCTGGAGCTGCTGTGTCAGCGGGCCGCTTCCAGGCGAACGTTTGGGAAAAACCTTTACCAGCATGTGAGCGAGTCACACAGGCATTTCCTTCTGCTGTCAAATGAAGGACAGCTTATATAATCTTGTTTTTGTGATGTTTGAAGGAAGTCATCGCTCACTGGATTGCAGAGTGCCGCCTGATGATCGAGCAGACCCGCCTACTGACTCTCTCTGCTGCTCATGCCTTGGATACTCTGGGCAGCAGGGCCGCTCGCAAACAGGTAACGCTGTCGGTAGTTTGTGGTTCTGGTTTACACATGAGCAGAAATGTTAAATCCCAGTCTCAAATCCACCTGTTAACACAAACATGAAGCGTGTTTTTCTAACTAGAAGGGATTCACTCTTTGACAGCTGTTCAGAATGCTCATTACATTTCTGATTTGCAAAATTAAGCATTTAAATCCTGATTAGTAGCATAGCCTGCTAATGTCACAACCTGTCCTCTAGATTGCCATGATCAAGGTGGCAGCAGCCAGGATGGTGTGTAAAGTGGTGGACTATGCCATCCAGGTTCATGGAGGTGCAGGGGTTTCGGGGGACTTCCCTCTTGCACAGATGTAAGTTTGTCTTTCTTCGCATACAAGTGCGTATGAATGAATCATCATGCAGTGTGTTGTAATTTAAGTGGTGATTTGGATGATTCTGTCTTCCTGCAAATGAGAACCCAAAATGTATTTTCTTGGATTATGTAATGAGTCTTATTATGTACAAATTCATTAGAAGATGCACTTTTTAATTATACTCTTCCTCTCATTTCCCAGGTACTCTAACGTACGAACTCTGCGAATCGCTGATGGACCTGATGAGGTTCACCTTTCTTCTATTGCAGTACTGGAACTAAGGGATCAGCTAAAGCAGGCGCGGGCCAGGCTGTAAAATTGAATCAATAACGCTTCAAACTAAACAGTCCATTAACTTAATATTTCTAAAAATGCAGGAAAAAATTGGTGCTCTGCAAACCCGCATCCAGGTTTAGCACTATGTTGGGGATAAATGAATACTTACTTACCTGTGGAGTTTGTGTGATTAAATAAATTGCAGCCTCTGAGGCAGCTTTTAAGTGATTGGGTGAGAAAGTAATGCAGTATTTTTGTATTCAGATCTTACAAGGTGGGTGAAAATGAAATAAATTGCAACTAAATTAACACTGCTTTTGTCAGTCATTGCTCCAGACATCTTAAAAATGACACTTGTTTATTAGGAATTATTTTTAATGTGAACTACAAAAACATAAGTCGACAGCATGAATGTAAGACTTTTCCTCTCACACTACATGGGTGTGGTCTACCACATGGATGATTTCCATTGTAAAGTGGAGAAATTAGGACACACAAACACATTTTTTTTTTAAATCTTTACAATATAAAACAGCAGTGGCCCCATCTAACTGATACACCAGATGGCAACCCATGCAACACCCTCCACTCTCTGTTGTTCGTTCGTTAACCTACAGCCATTTCAGATCTTCAGCTGCCAATTCAGTCCACCTTTAAATCAAACGCGGCGCAGAGATGGGGGTGGATGAGAGGGGCTGGTTTACGAGTGAAAAACAAAAGATGTCAGTGTTTGCTCTTCTTAGATTTCTTGTGAGATCGGTGGGGGGATCTAGATCTGGAGCGGGACTTCTTGGTTGATTTCTTGGGTGTCCTGGAGCGCGACCGCCTCGATCGCTTCGGTGTACGAGGTGAAGATGGAGATCTAGCAGGATTAAAGGGACATTACACATTTAGAGTTCCTAAAAACAGCGCAAGTTTTAAAATTCTCCCTTAGCAATGCGATTTAAACTCGGTGTTTATATGCACTTTAAAAAGAAAAGCTTTATTCATTCCCAAGCTCTATCTTTCTGATTGGCATCTCCAGATGCTGCTTTGATGGTTCCAGCTACAGTAAATGTTTCAATGCAGTGTATGCATTTACCTCTTGGACGATTTTTTGTTGCTAGACCGAGGAGAGTCCTTATGGGATGCGCGTGACGATGTGTCTTTAGAGTACGATCGATCGGAGCGTTCCGATCTCTCTGAGCGCTCTGAACGCGGCGAGGATGACCGGCCTCGTCTGCTGCCGCTCCTCGACGGACTGGGAGAGCCGCTGTGATGCCGCTTCCTGAGAGGAGGGGGAGACGTGTCAGATGGCGCATTAGTCGAGTTAAAGCTTTACTTTTAGAAATCTGAGTATTAAAAATGTCTGCATCACCTTTCTTTCCTGGTTGGCGTGTCATCCTTCTCCTTCTCTTTCTTCAGTTCTTTTAACCGCGCCTCTGCTTTCTCCTTTTCTTTTTTCTCCCTTTCTTTCTCACGCTCAAGTTTCTCTTTTTCTTTCTCCTTTTGAAAAGCATGACAAAAGGAGCTCGGTTGTTGTTTTGTCCTGTATCATATATTACAGGTATCAGTAACCTAGGTTCTTACCTTCTGCAGCAGTTTGTCCCTGTAGTGCTCCACCTGCTCCTGGATACTCTGCCCAGGCTTCTTGGGCCTTTTCCCAGACTCCAGCTCATCCTGGAACTTCATGACTTTAACCTGTTGTCAAAAATGTGTTGCACCATGATATCCTGCTACTATAATATAATAGTATCTCCTCATTGGCATAATCTCCTTGACTCAACCTTTTAATCATTTTTGGTCGACAAATAACCAGACCAAACAAAATTACCTGAAGTAAACAACTTAAAAAAAACTAAAGACCAACTACATACAAGCATTTGATGCAGCCTGATGGAGCATGTAGGAGCCAAGCAACGAAACATCAGAGTAATGTTCACTGGCAAGTAGTCAGAAGAGCAGCAAATGCATAAATACTGTATCTTACTGGGAACTATGGAAAATTATCAGTATTTATAACATCGTGCGTCATACAGTGACTGTTTAAATAAACCCTGACACACTAGAAAACAACAGTGCCAAGGGAATAAAAATCCTGCCATAAACTAGCAAAAATCTAACATTAAATTGCACTTTTTAGGTTTATCAGAAACATTGTAAAAATATGAACAGGGAATTGTTCTAAAAAGATTTTAAAAGACAGGTAACATAAATGTGATAAAGACTACTTCAAATGAATGCATTTAATAATAGCCACAAAACCAGCAGAAAGGTAATAAAGGCTGTTTTACAGCAGCAAAGCAAATAATTTACGACCAGATTACTGGTCTGACAAGAAAGCAGTAGGAAAATTCAACACATTTTTATCTGATTAGATCCCAAACAATAACGCAAACTTCGGCCGTTTGAATAAAATCTCTATTAAGTCAACATGCGATGCAGAAACCTTGATAGCTCTTGCCGCTCTGTTTTACATTTCTCCCTGTGTTGCTGATTCCTGATCACCTGATAAACTGGAATTTCCTGAATGAGCGAAACAGGTACTTAATTAGCTCTAGTGTATTTTCCATACTTTAAAGAAGACGTGTGCCAAGAAACCAACTTAGTTAAAATGAGGAATCTACAATTTCTAATATGAACTATAGTCAAATATTCAGCCAGATACTGCATGTAGAACCAGTTGCTACAAAAAGTATTTTTTTCCTAAATCTTTTTGTGCTATTTATTTAAATCAATCCATTTAAAAAAAGACAACACCTACATTATTTAGACATATATTTTAGTTTGTAAAATAGATTAAAATACACAAAAAAAACCTCAATCTCTCTGAGCTTGGTGCGTTTCTCCTCATTCATTTCAGACATCTTGGTTTTCATATCAGAGTCGTCTCTGATGGGGTTGGAGTAGCTCTGATTATCCTCTGAGCGAGGGCTCCTGTCGTCATCATCACTGTCTGCCTCACCCCTACAGAAATATATTAAGGTGGTGAAAATAGTCTGCAAACTCGTAAGTATACACCGTGATGAGCAGATGGAAAACAAAAAGGCGTCTTACTTCTTTGATTCTTCCGGTTGCTCAAATATCTCCCATTTGGAGGTTGTTACAGCTGAGGAGTGAAGACGTTCAATTACAAAGACAGAAAAATATCAAATATGATTGACAGGTAGAGGCTTCCCAACGTTACCTTGAGCCTGTAACTCTGCCTCATCCACCGCTTCCCATTTTGAGGGTGCAACCTTGAAAGTTGCTGACTGATCCACTGTCAAAAGCAGAATAAAAGTTATTATTTGAAACAATCCATAACGATCATTTATATTTGGGAGTGTCCTGATCAGGACTTTGCCCTCCTCGGGCCTCTCTGTGCCGGTCCCCGCTTCACTCACGAGGTATTCCATCGATGTCGTCATCAATGGACTTAATAGGAACCCCGTCTAAATCGTAGAGAGGAGCTCCATCGATTGGCGCCCCATCAATGGGTACTGCATCAATAGGGACCCCATCCACGTCCTCCAGAGGGGCTCCATCTACAAACTCCCCCAGAGGGGCCCCATCGAGGTCTTCTGCAGGTTCAGGCTGAAACAAGACGAGGAGGAGAAAAATCAAGCGTGATCTAAACGAAAACAAAAATCTGGGGATATATGTGTGGTTTATTACCTCTACAACAACAGGGACCTCCTTTTCCGAGGAGAGATTGACAAGTCCAAGGAAGATATTCTGCAGCTTAATGAGAAAGGGATCAGGGTACACAGCCCAATCCTCCCACGCCCGGAAACATGACATCACTCGTTGCTATTATGACAAATTAAAAAGAAAACAAACACGTAAGCTGAGTGATATGAATCACCGGTGAAACAAACCATTGTGAAGTTTGATAAACTAACGCGGCTACCTTGAAGTTCTCACTCTGCAGGTGTCCTTGTATTGTCTTGTATGTGGCGTTGAGATCAGCGAAAATCTGGCTAAGCTTCGTCTCAAAACTATGTAGAACAAAAACAAATTTACTCACCGAGATTCATTTATTTAAAACAACCAAACTATCAATTCTATTTAAACTTACTATTTTCTGTAGTAAGACGCATTGGATACTTTGGCAGAAGAGTTGTACAGCACATCAGAAACAAGATATAACCGTGCAATCTGAAAGATTAACAAGCAGCGTCACGGTTAGAGATCGTTGATGAATGGTTGGAAGGAGGCGGCATTGAACTCTTGCCTTCTTTGGTAGAGGGGTCTTCAGAATGGAGAGGGACTCTGTGATACACTCCACAATCTCCTCAGCAGCTTCAGCATGGTTCAGACAAAACAGCATGGCCTCTGCCACGTCTCCTCTCCTCGGAGACAGACCGCGGAGCATCTCCTCCAGCTTGTCCCGCTCCCTGAACACAGCATCACTTCATAACTAATCATCCCTCATCCTGAAGGTGGCTAACTCCACACCAAAACAGAAGGTATTCTGTTGAACTGCATTTAAAACAGCCTTGAACACAATTCTGTTGCACACAAAGTGAGGAGATAATTCAGCTGAACATCGCCCCCTAAGGGCTGGACTTGGCCACCCATGGCTCATACTCACTTATCGAATCCAGAAGCTCTCTATCTAAGCATCCATTTATCTTGTCCTCTACTTATTTGATGGTTCAGAAGTGAAATTCAGACTTCCTTCTCTATATGGAGGGTCAGAAGGGGTCTTGATGCAACCAAACATTCTGAACTTGGGGGGCTCCAGATGCCTGACCCACCTACACTGACTGCTTTCAGTGCAGAGGAGCAGATGCTCAACTCCAAGCTCTCCTACATCATGCAGCGACAAATTTGTATGAAAGCATATTTTCCCAATTTTTTGGGTCTTATCCTTGTTTTGGAAACATTGATTTATAAAATATGTGGCAGACTATGACCCTGATCAAACTGAAATTACTCAGATTTTCTGCAGGTATAAATATATTAGTTTCAAATTCACATGTCTTGAAGAGTGGTGTACCATATAAGCTGAATATGAAAACTTTAAATCAAAATTCAAAGACTCAAAAGCTCCTCCTAGTGGGTGTCATTTATGGACTCAGTGCATAATCTTATGGGGTGAGTTTGAGCCAAATCCATAACTGAGGGTATAAATTAGAAATTTATGTCTAATATTTATGTTTTACTTTGAAAAATGTTTGTGGCTTTACTGTTTAATATAAATGACTATGATAAGCCTTGTTTTTAAATTGGTTTTAGACATAAAAGCAACATGAACATCAATAATCACAAGTTAAACAGCAAGGTGAAGTCTAATCATATTGTGAATGAAATGTGCAACCATTTTAGGTCATAATCCTACTCTT